GAGCAACTTGAACAACACTTTGCTACACTCTGTCATACTTGAGCAACTTTCTGTGTGCTATGATGTTTTGGCTGAACTCACTTTGTGTGACAGCTGTGAAGATGATGGACCAACAGCATTTGAACATGTGTTTGAGGGATGTAAGTACCCATCTTTTCTGCTTTCATGACATGTAACTGAGTGCTGCCAACATCAGACCCCAACCATATCATTTGCCCTCCATTCAAGAGGGTTACTCAGCAGGATCCTTCACTTCAGCAAAAGATCACTCAATATGTGGCTCAGGTATTAGGAAAGTGAGAGAGCAAAGTGAAAATCTGTTTGCCATTCCCAACCCTATTTGCTGGAAAGCTTCAGATATGTGGAGGTGGCAATTTCTTCCAGACAGCAGCTGTCTCACATAGACCAGCAGCTCCAGCAAGGAGGAACTGCTATATCAAGGTGTGCTCAATATCACTAATACTACACAGTCAGTTTAATGACATCATATGTGACCAGTATGAAGTAATTCTCAAGGCATGTAATCATCATTTGGTTCAAGTTATCAGGTATGGTGATCTGGAAAAGATATTCATGCTCACCCTGCCACCAAACAGATTCTTCACCTCTCTGAGTGGCAAAATACTCATCCTTGCTCTCATCACACATGGAGTACCAAAGGAAAGGATGCCACAAGTGAGAATACTTACTTGTTGTCCCACTGTGCAACAATTGTCACCAATGTACAAAGCTTAAAGGCTGTGGTGGGCCTGGTCCCTGTAGGTAAATGGTGGGGTATCATTGATTGAATGTCAGCAGCATCTGCACAAGGTTTTGTGGATATAGGGACATGGGAGGGAACCCCAGAGGAGAATGAGAGTGATAGGGAAGATGTAGATGAGCTTTTTTACACTTGACACTGTTTTTCAATGCCACAACACTGATTTTCCTGACTGACATTGAAAATCACATATGTAATTTACACTACACTTAAAATCATTGTCAGACTGATAACACTGAAAAGATGCATCCATGACTTCAGTGTCACAGACACCGATTTTTAGTGATTTTACTTCTTACAGTGTCAATGTTGTTAGTATGTTCTCAAGTATTATTCATTTTGTGACAGATCCAATATGTTTCTTATGTGTTCTTCATCTGCATTCACACTTCCTGCCCATCTAATACTGTTTAAAAGAGCTCATAAAGCATAGCATATGGGGACCTCTTTCCCTATAACAAATACAGACTGGACATGTAGCACACTCAAAGAAAGTTCTATTATGTGACCTGAATGTAAAGTATTGACACTTGCAATGCAGACACAACAGAACTTTTCTTTAAGCATGCTGCACATTATCCAGAATTTGCAGTCTGTATTTGTTGTAGGGAAAGAAGTCCCTGTATGCTACCATGTTTTACAGGCCCTTTTATACTGTAATGGATAGGCATGAACTGTCAATGCAGATGAAAGGGATAAGTAAAAGGCAGTGAAGATAAATAAGAAACATATTGGATCTGTCACAAAGTGAATAATACTTGAGAATATAGTGTCAATGTTGGGCCAAAGCCCTACACAAATACATCTCTATTTAGTTTTTGCATCCCCCATGCATGACCCAACATGACAAGATGTGATGAGATAAAGTTACTATTCTTTTCTGAAACTCCACCCACTCTCAGAAGCTCCACTGTGGAGCATTTCTCACTTTTGAATCTTAGACCTGTAGTTGGGTGTTGCACATGCATATTATGTAGCTTAACTCTCAAAAATTACATGCCCCCCCTTTTGTGCATCATCTCTCCACCTGATCACCTTTCCTCTTTGCTATACAGTGACTCCAAAAACCCTTTCAATGTTTGCTCTAAATGGAGTGTGTGAGGTGTGGCATGAAAAGGGGTGGGAATTTTGCTTTGCATCTCTAGGACCAAATTTAGTAATTGCTCTTGGCTACAGAATGGTACCTTTGTCATGTGATTTGGCTGACAGGCAGTGGAGATATTGTTGATTTAAAACTGCAATACCATTGAAAGGGTTTTTTCACTTTTGAATTGAAAAGGGTATTTGGAGAACCAGAAGTTGAGATCTCAGGAGGGATGGAAAAATATGATGACATAATAAACCACATGATCTTCCAGATGATTTGTCAGCATGTAAACAATGACAAACATTGAATTTGTACCATTAAACCTCCCTCTTTTACCACAACTCATGAGATGATCCCTCTGGCTCACTTGGTCATTTTCTCAGGGAAATATTGTCAAATACTGGTGCCCACTACTGTACCATCAGTATAACATGCTCTCAGGACCATCAGTCCCTTAAAAAACCTGCTGCCAGTCAATCCCTGCACTGTTTCCCCACCCATACCTGATGTATTCTGGGACTAATCAATGCTTGGAAGGCTGAAAATGTTATGGAGGTCAATCTGGCACTTCAGAACATGATGGACAAACCAAGCCCCTCTTAACCAATGCATTTCTGGCCCAGGGACACTGGTATGGAGATTAGGGCAAGACAAAGCCTCCTTGTGCTCCAAGCACCCTAAGAAGGTTCACTAGATCTTGCTCTAATCTGAACTTTGGATGACTGGGGAAGGGTTATTTGGTCACATGTGACCAAAGGCAATAATCAGGGCTGGATGGTAGCACAGGATTCTGCTCCATGGCTGCTCAGTAGCATATCCTTCTGATGACTCCCAAGGGTAAAGAGGATTTTGTCTTGCCCTAACCTCCATATCAGTGTCCCTGTGGCAGAAATGCATTGGTTAAGAGGGGCTTGGTTTGTCCATCATGTTCTGAAGTGCCAGATTGACCTCCATAACATTTTCAGCCTTCCAAGCATTGATTAGTCCCAGAATACATCAGGTATGGGTGGGGAAACAGTGCAGGGATTGACTGGCAGCAGGTTTTTTAAGGGACTGATGGTCCTGAGAGCATGTTATACTGATGGTACAGTAGTGGGCACCAGTATTTGACAATATTTCCCTGAGAAAATGACCATGTGAGCCAGAGAGATCATCTCATGAGTTGTGGTAAAAGAGGGAGGTTTAATGGTACAAATTCAATGTTTGTCATTGTTTACATGCTGACAAATCATCTGGAAGATCATGTGGTTTATTATGTCATCATATTTTTCCATCCCTCCTGAGATCTCAGCTGCTGGTTCTCCAAATACCCTTTTCAATTCAAAAGTGAAAAAACCCTTTCAATGGTATTGCAGTTTTAAATCAACAATATCTCCACTGCCTGTCAGCCAAATCATGTGACAAAGGTACCATTCTGTAGCCAAGAGCAATTACTAAATTTGGTCCTAGAGATGCAAAGCAAAATTCCCACCCCTTTTCATGCCACACCTCACACACTCCATTTAGAGCAAACATTGAAAGGGTTTTTGGAGTCACTGTAACTCCTTATCCTACATGATGTATTGTTTCATTTAATCCAATAGAACAATGACTCCCTCTCGTCTTGTGCAATCGGACGAACCGTGAACTACTACTTAAACAACTCCAGTGATGATGAATGACTATTGATTGATATTGTTGATTGGGGGCAACAGTGCCAGCTGGGTCAAGAGATTAGTCAGCGTTCGGAATTCGCCGAAGTCTACCAGGTTATGGCATAGTCTCCTCGTCGATCATCACATCGAATCCTTTCGATCTACTATTTTTCCCGTTCGTTGTCATTCTCCGTGTATGTAGTTTTCCTCTTGGTATCCTAGTCTTTTCAGTCTTGTGGTTCATTCTAGCACAAGGTCGCAGGCTCACTGGGGTGAGTCGGAGAATTTGGATACTGTAGCGCCTAGCACCTCCTGTATGATTTCTCACCAAAGCTGTTATCAGTAACTACGTGACCAGCGTCGTATCTCAGAAAGAAATGGCGTCGACATTTGCCGAGATCCCAGATCGCATTAGAGGTACAGAGAATGACGAAATCGCGGTCACGACCAGTCAGTGACAGGTTTAAACCATTTATTCGCATCCTGATGGGCCGGAAGTTTATCACAACTCCTTCTTGATCCGTCCGGATGAGGGATTGGAGCATTCCTTGACGCATAGCGCGGAGAATTGACTTCCCGAGATCACAGTTTCAGCCTCTCAGGGCAAGTTCCTGAAACTCATGGCGCTTACTGTGGGTACAAAGAGGGTGCTTGAAGTGGGAACACTCGGTGCGTGGTTTGCTTCCCTCACCTCTACTCGGCCGAAACAGGACTGATCATTTATCTGTCACCCCAGATATTCGACCATTTATGTGGCGAACTGATTACGCTTGAGATATCAGAAGCTAACGCCAAGGTAACGTTCTACAACATTTCTATAAATGCCTCCGCACACATCTATCAACAGCTGATCCGGTGGCATAAACACAGGTTGCCTGTGATAATTTAGCTAAAGCAGGAATACGAAACTCCAGAGTGCTGGTTGAAAACGCCATCGAAACCCTTAAGGAACTTCCAACGGTGGAGTCATTTGACTTAATTTTCATAGACGCTGACAGTAAAGCTACCCTAATTACTTTCTCGAAGCGAAAGGCTTAGTCCGGAAGCACGGCGTCATCGTGGTTATCTCATGCATCCTTAATTAATTTCTTCCAACACTCATACCACAAAACGGGTCGTTAGATCATGGACAATGTCGTGCAGAAAGGCCGGGTTGCTGATGGGAGCTTTGCATGCCGTCCCGACCCCTCCAAGGACGAATATCCCGACGACTCCACTGTCGTGGGCGTTCGTAAACTGTTGAGAATGTTGAAAGAGGAGAAGGGGTAGACGCGACAACAATTGCAACAGCCGATGAGAAAGTTACGACGGCTTCTTGTACGCAATTAAATTATATAATCCTACAAGAACAAACGGTTCAGATTAACTCACTACTTTAGCATGAGGCAGTGTGAACGTTGTGGAAGGAACCCTGTATTCCATCGGACCACACTCCAGAAGAGCGAATGGCTGAAGTTAAGGTGTAAACCATACTTACTCCTTCAGTGGCATCAAGGAAGGGCAACACGTGGTATCGTACCTGTTGTTTGAAAGAGTTTGAATGCCCAGAAGGAGATGTGAACGGTGCTTAATGATAAGCGCAGGGCGCCTCAGACTCCACAGCCAGATGAAGCTCGACATGTGCCATTGAAGAACCATAGGAACGTGGACCTCGTGTATGTGCAAGGGTCGGCTATCAAACACATTCCGAGAAAGCCCTATCTAGCGCTCGGTGTGGCAGAATCAGGTCAGACGAATGGAGGAACAGTACGTACATGCTACCATGCATAGACGACACCCACAACACGTAGGGGCGTTCAAAATCCATATGTATCCCACACATCGAAAGAGAATGACATCGAGAGCAGGCCATTCCAGACTCACCCCAAATATGTAGGTTCCCATGCTAAGTTGCACCGCGAGGCAGAGAACATGCGAAGGGTGAGGAAGAATACATAAGCTCCTTTCAAGACGCCCACGACCACCGTAAACGCATTTAACTCCGACTATCAAGCTATGACGCCTCCCATAAAATTCTTCCGCGCCATTATACGTTTCTCCAAAAGGATGATCAAGGCAGGTCGAGGGAAAACGGTCGACGCAGTGAGGGAGGTACTTGACCCGCCCGACGTTGACGCGCACGCACTTCTTCAGATGCGTGCAAGGGCAAACAGACGTCTCGACCAGGTACTCGGAGTTACGAGTACATTTGTATCCGAGGACGAGAGAAGGCACGCTGAGGACGTCACGAGGGTTGGAGAGATCTTGCGAGTGGTTGATCTGGATACGACAGGGTGGAGAAGGTTGGTCAAGGTAGCACAACGGAGTGTTTTCCAGTTCCTCCCCGAGGCCTCATGCGACTTCGCCGCTTTTATTCGCCATATCACCTTTCACGCATGGGTTGTTGGCGTTTTAAACCAAAACGATCCTCACGGCAGAGTACTCCCAGAAACGGATCTCACGGTAGAGGAAATCACCAACGCATTCTTTGAATTCAGTGAACACGGACATACGAACGTCTCACCTATTCAGATCCACAACACTCTTGCGCAGTGGGTCGCGGCCCGAGAGGAATATCCAGACTACCCCCCAATCAACTTGGTATTTCCGCTGTATGATAAGCTATGGCGACTAGTCGCGGCCACGGTCATCTGCGCACAGTGCTTCCCTGCCTCGCGTAATCCCCTTCTCGATTTTGGCGAGAACCCTACGAGACGGCAGTTTAGCGTGTCTATGGGAGGATACGGGGACCCAAGTGCTGCAGATGTCATCAAAGAGGTTCTGAGACTGCACCCACCCGTTGAGCAGATCTCGCGGCCGTATGGACTGCCGAGGTGGCAAGCGATGCTCAAGGGCCATGTACAGACAGCGGATATAAAGGCAGTCCAGAACTATGACGAGAGAGGGGCACATCTGGGGGAGCCCAGGGAATTCAGGCCTGCAAGGTGGCAGGACGAGGTAAAGCCAGCCATGTTTGCGTTTGGGGAAGGGACACTCAGATGCCCTGCCCACCAATGGGTCCCCGCTTCCGCTGCGCTTATCGCGTCCAAGGTTATGGAAGGTGTTGATGGCGTCAAGTGGAGGATGGAACAGCCGGGGTCTGACAGAGAGACGAGGTACAACTGGGAGGGTTGGACCATCCGCAAGGCGACGTGAACAACCCCCTGTGGGGAGGTTGCGATTGAGGGAACTGGACTTTCGGTAGTACGAGGACTCTATGTGTACTACACTCTGTCCGCCATGTATATACGTGTTAACAGCAACGAACCAACAGGACCAGTGCGCAGCACTGCGGAAAACAGTCACCTTTATCGTCCCTTGCACCCGCCGGGCCTTCCGCATCAATCACTAGTGACAAAATACTTCCAGAGCAGGGACGCTAATCGTAGATTGTTCCAGTTGGCATAATGGCTCATGATACCTGAAGAAAATTGATTAGAACATGCCCGGGGAAGGGCTAAGAGGCTTCCTTGGTACGTCCGTCTGAATTTTCTATCTTGTGGAAAGGATTTTTGAACCCGCTTGGGTGGATTTGACTGATGCCAGTAAATATTAAGAATTTAGTCCTCGCTCGCCAAGGGACGACCCTGTTTTCAATTGCAGAGGGATGGCAGTTTATCGTAGTGGCTTAGACGCTGCGCTACGAGATAGCAGACAAACGAAGTCCGAGTACCTTAGGCATACCACAAACTCGAAGAAATCAATCTTTTTTTTTCGCTTGGCAGACATGTATATCATCGTTCTATGCCGTGGATTGGGAATTCGCCACATTTGTGGGAAACCGAGAACTCTACAGACACCCAAAACGCTGACATAGGATTACGAGTCGAGAGCATGAAAGCTCGTTGAGAGACAACTGGGACACAAGACTCATTTGGTAAGGAAGGTACCCGACTTCTGTGCAGAATGTAAGCATTGGAACGGAACCGCAGATGGCGATGTTCTGAGCGAGTCCGATTTCGCAGCAGCAAGTCCGGTTTTATGTAAATTACATCCACAGTCCCCTTTAAGCCCACCGCACATGCTCGAGCGGCGAGTGGCTGTGCCAATCCAGATGCTCGTTTGCCCATAGCGAGGTCGGCCACTGACAGAGTTGCCGTTGCCGCAATGATTCATCAGCGCAACATGAAGTGTGTCATCGTTTTCAGGGGTGCACTGACTCGACAATGACAACCGGTGATATGATGCTCAGTGAATCGTCCTGCAGGGACTGCCAGGAGTCGAGGGAACGAATAAATGCAAGGGCTTCCACAATCTTTACCCGGTAGTCTCCTGAACACTTCACTGACTTGAAACATGTCGCTCCCCCAAAACACCACTGTACTCATCGTTGGAGCTGGCCCAACTGGTCTGGCGAGTGCCTTGTCCCTTATCCATCACGGGTTCAAGGACTTCGTCATTGTAGATGCTGTCGTTGAAGGGGACAACAGTTCCCGTGCTATTGTTGTCCATGCTGCCACCTTGGAAGTAAGTGACCTTTCACAGATTTATCAGTACTTGACTCAAATAACAATATGGCAGGCTCTAGACATGATAGGCTGTGGAGATGAGTTAGTTTCCAAAGGCACAAAGATGACGAGCGTGAACTTTGACACTCAAACAGGAGCGCTTTCCCGCCTTCCGTTTGACTCACTGGAACCATACACTCGTCATCCTTATGCACTCGTTATCCCACAGACATTCACGGAGTATGTCTTGGGACAAAAGGCAGCCGACCTTGGTATCACTGTGCACCGTCCACACAAAGTTGTGGGTATGAAGGTAAGCGCGGTTGATACCGACCTCGCAGACATCACGTTCGAGGATGGACAGGTCGTTACGACCAGATACGTCATTGCTGCGGATGGCGCACGTTCAACGGTTCGTACTTTCGTTGCTTTCCATGTGATCACCCTTATGGAGAACAATTTAGATTCGCACCATTGCGGGTATTGGCTTCGTGGATCCGAAGGATAGCCCGGAGCATGACTCCACTACACTTGTGCAGCTTGTTCCGGCAGATGTCACCTTTGACAACCCGAAGTTAAACATCTCCAATTTGAGTGGCGTGATGTCCGCGAACACTTACTTCTTTTCTGTTCCCCTTCCTTTCACATTCAACGAATACCTTTCTAGGAAAACCGGCAAATTTATTGAGGATAGAATAGTCAGGATAGCGTGTGGGGTTCCAGTAGGAGAGGGGCCCGTTCCACAAGCACCGTCCAAGGCATACATACAGAACCTCATCGACAAATTCGATCCCTTATATCTGTCGTCGGACCCCTCTGCCAATCCAAGTGGAAAAGGTGTCTGCATAAAGGAAGTCATTTGGTCTTCCCGTGTCCGCACCCACTCCGCCATTGCCGATACTTTCTTCGCTCGCCTTCATCCAGATGACTCATTAATACCCACAGGAGCTGCTATCCTCCTCGTTGGCGACTGCCGCCCATATCCATTCTCCTGTTGGGGGGCAAGGCATGAACCTCGGTCTTCGAGACGCAGTCTTCCTCGGAGAGGTGCTCGCGAAGCACGTCAAAGTGACGGAGTCCAAACCTCTATCGGAAGCCGACCAGATCCTGACTGACTTCGCTGCGGAGCGACGCACCCGCGCACTCAAAGTCATCGGGTTCACAAAGAGCCTTCTTTCAGTTGGTGGGACAAAAGACGCGGTCGTCGCATGGTGGTTACCTATCAGTAAGGTGACTTTACGGGACTGGGTACTATGGATGGTAGGAAAGGTGTACTACCTGCAAAGGCGAGTTATGTGGAACTTCAGTGGGTTGGGCCGTAGATAAAGAGAGATACTGCGAAGTTGAGGGAATCCGCAACCTACCTAATAGTAGTTTTTTTCTACTGTGTTTGCTGCGAAGTTTTGGACCTTCGTATTGATGTGATGACGATTGGGACCTAGATATATGACGATTACGATTCAAAAAGTTCTGACGAGAACCTGCCAATCCAAAAACCAGCCAGAAAGCTCTCCTATGACTAGTCACCTCACGACAAGCAATCAATACCTATACCCCCACACTCGCCTCGAACATCGTTCCATCAACAACCCTAACAATGGCCAGGTGACTAAACCTCGACAGCCATTAGCACGCTGGACTTGTGCTACTACGCTAGTGCTGAGAGGAGCCGGTGAGTCATCGATTCATCTTTGAATCCCATCACGCGTGGCGTGATTTAATTTGAAGGCTGTACAAGTTGTCCGGGTGAACTTTACACCTGGAACTAACCGCACCACCAAGTTATCTGAGAATGGCTCCGCTTGAGCTCATGGTCCATGTATTGTTCGATATGCGTGTGCGTCACAAGGTCGCCCGCGCAAAACAACTGGAGACCGTTTGTGTAACCAAGATCGGCGGTGGTAGGTAAATGGTCCCTTACTTGTCACCGTGCGTCTTCATTACATAACTCATTTCCTACGCTACGTGGTTTTGAAGTCTCGCAGCGCTAGCCATTTACCGCTCTCTAGCACTGCAGGGCATGTTAATACTCAACAAGGATACCGTCTATACCCCGTATACATATTTCCTCAACTTCACTATCTGAGACATGTCACTTCCCCGGAACACCACTATTCTAATTGTTGGAGCTGGGCCAACCGGTCTGGCAAGCGCCCTATCACTTATCCATCACGGGTTTAACGACTTCGTCGTTGTGGATGCTCTCGTCAAAGGGGACAACAGTTCACGTGCTATCGTTATCCATGCTGCCACCTTGGAAGTACGTGCTCTGTCATAGATTTAACTGTACACTTCTATTGACCCTAACGAACATCATGACAGGCGCTCGATGTGATAGGCTGCGGAGGCGAGCTGGTCTCCAAAGGCACCAAGATGACGAGCATGAACTTTGACACTCGAACGGGGGTGCTGGCCCGCCTGCTATTTGATACACTGAAACCATATACTCGTCATCCTTACGGACTTATTATACCACAGACGTTCACGGAGCATGTTTTGGGGCAAAAAGCGGCCAGTCTTGGTGTCACAGTCCATCGTCCACACAACGTTGTGGGTATGAGGATAAACGCGGACAATACTAACCTTGCGGACGTCACATTCGAGGATGGGCAGGTCATTACGACGAAATATGTTATTGCTGCGGATGGCGCACGTTCAACGGTTCGTACCTGGCGCGCTTTCCACACGGTCATCCTTATGGCGAGCGCTTCAGATCCGCCCCATTGCGGGTATTGATTTCGTAGATCCGAAGAATGGCCCCGGACACGACTCCACCACACTTGCGCAGCTGGCTCCAGCAGATGTCACCTTTGACAACCCAGAATTAAATAACTTCAACTTCAGAGGTGTGCTGTCTACGAACAACTTCTTCCTTTGTGCCCCTCTCCCTCCCACATTCAACGAGTACCTTGCAAAGGAAACCGGTAAACATATTGAAGAGAGAATATTCAGGGTGGCATGTGGGGCACCAGTAGAAGAAGGGCCCGTTCCACACTCCCCATCGAAGGCATTCATACAGAGCCTCATCGATAGATTCGGTCCCCTGGATCTGTCGTCGGATCCCTCCGTCAATCCAAGTGGGAAAGGTGTCTGCATAAAAGAAATCATTTGGTCTTCCCGAGTTCGGACCCACTCCGCCATTGCAGATACTTTCTTCACTCGTCTTCCTTCCGGCGACTCATTGAAACCGGAAGGAGCTGCCATCCTCCTCGTTGGTGATGCTGCCCATATCCATTCTCCTGTTGGGGGGCAAGGTATGAATCTCGGTCTTCGAGACGCAGTCTTCCTAGGAGAGATGCTAGTGAAACACGTCAAGGCGACGGAGTCCAAACCTCTATCCGAAGCCGACCAGATCCTTGCCGATCTCGTTGCGGAGCGACGCGCCCGCGCACTCGAAGTCATCGGGTTCACAAAAAAATTGCTTTCCGTTGGCGGAATGAAAGACACGATTGTTACATGGTGGTTACCTATCAGTAAGGTGACTTTACGAGACTGGATGCTCTGGATGGCAGGAAAGGTGAATTACCTGCGAAGGCAAGTTATATGGAACATGAGTGGATTAGGTCGTAGGTAAAGGAGAGCTCAGAAGACTGCAAAGTCACATACCAATACGAGAATCCACAACTATCGTCGCTGCGTTGTAAAGTATGAAGTTTTGCGCATTGTTGGTGATTGGGGTTTGGGCGTGGCATAGAAATACGGTGCGAAAATCTTCAACAAGAAATTGCATCTAATCTTGTCACAAATATAATTCATTGGAACGGAAAAACGTTGTATACCAACCTTCTCGAGAATATCATCATGCTCACCGACTTATTCCTTAACCGTAAACTTGGTCGTAAGATACGATTTGCACATTTAGGGGAAAACCTTAAGTGAAGGAATGCAAACCGTGAGGCTTGAAGTGAAAGCCGTCTGGACTTTCATTGCAGAATAAGGAGAGCTTTGTCCGAGTTGACAAGATAGCTAGACTTCTTGGTCTTCGGAGTTCCGCAATCAAGCTCCGCGGCGATTGTAATATTTCGCTAACCATTTACCCAGTCCTAATGTGTAGCAGACTCGGTCTTCCCTGGGCGTTCCAAGAAAATCTAAGGAAGACAGTATGATGTGGAGCAGACTCACAAACTTCGGAGGTACTGTACCCAAATTCTGCGCAGAACATAAGATCAGAATGTTCTTGGATTAATCGATTAAAGGGTATTCGGAATGAGTCACTTCGCATGACAAGGCACATACAAGCTTTTACGGTCTACCACTCCTTCGGCGTGTTTATCACGGGCCTAATAGTCAATTGGGTAGCGGCGGTATGTCATCGATTCAGACAATGACCACATCATGATGTCATGGCGCACAAAAATGTAGGAACGGAAGGCTTCGATAGCCAACACAACAGCCAGCATCTCTTCTTGCTAGTTTCTTCAGACTCGCAGTTGAAGCATGGCGCTCCCTCGAAGTACCACTGTGCTAATCGTTGGGGCAGGCCCAACTGGTCTAGCGAGCACCTTGTCTCTTGTTCACCACGGGTTCAAGGATTTCGTCATTGTGGATGCTGTCGTCAAGGGGGACAACAGTTCCCGTGCCATTGTTGTCCATTCCGCCACCTTGGAAGTAGGTGTCCAGTCAGAAACTTAACAGTCCACCTCCGTTGACCCCAAAAACTTCAACGTGACGGCAGACTCTAGACGTGATAGGCTGCGGAGACGAACTGGTGTCCAAAGGCACAAAGGCAACCAAGATGAAATTTGGCACCAGAACAGTGGAGCTGGCCCACATTCAGTTTGATGCACTGGAACCATACACCCGTCATCCCTACGCACTCATCATACCTCAGACATTTACGGAGCACGTCTTGGGTGAAAAGCTCGCCAGTTTGGGTGTTACTGTACATCGTCCCCACAAAGCCATGGGTGTCAAGGTCAACGCAGACGATGCCAATCTCGCGGACGTCGTGTTCGAGGACGGACAGACTATTACGACGAGATATATCATTGCTGCGGATGGCGCACGTTCTACGGTTCGTCTTTGGGACATCATTTCGACGATTGCTCTTACAGACAGCGCCGTAGATTCGTACTGTTGCTGGTATCGCATTCGTAGACCCGAAGAGCGATCATGGAGACGACCCCACTACCCTTGAGCAGGCTGCTCTAGCGGATGTCACCTTTGATCGCCCAGACTTGGATGAGTCCGACTTCAGAGGTATAATGTGCCCGAATAATTTCTCCCTCTGTGCCCCTCTTCCTTTCACCTTCAACGAATATCTCGCAAAAGAAACCCATGAGCATATTGAAGGGAGAATATACAGGATGGTGTGGGGGATACCACTGGAAGAAGGGGCTGTCCCACACTCACCATCGAAGGAGTACATGCAGACTCTCATTGAAAAATTCGGACCACGTGACCTCTCGGCTGATCCTAAAGTCAACCCCACTGGGAAAGCCGTTTGCTTGAAAGATATCGTCTGGTATTCGCGCTTTCGCACCCACAGTGCCATCGCGGACACTTTCTTCACTCGGCTTTCTTCAGGCGACTCATCAGACGTTCGAGGGCCTGCCATCCTACTTGTTGGTGACGCTGCCCATATCCATTCTCCAGCTGGCGGGCAGGGCATGAACCTCGGCATTCGGGACGCGGTCTTCCTCGGAGAGGTGCTCGTGAAGCACATTAAAGCGACGGAATCTATGCCTCTGTCGGAGGCCGATTACATTCTTGCCAAGTTCGCCGCAGAGCGGACGTGCCCGTGCGCTTGAGGTCATCGCCTTCACAAAGACCTTGCTCTCGATCGCCGGAGTGAAGGACGAGGTTGTCGCATGGTGGTTCCCTGTTAATAAGGTGACTTTGCGTGACTGGATGTTGTGGATGTTGGGGAAAGTGTATTATCTGCGAAGGGAAGCTGCGTGGAGCGTTAGTGGGCTGGGTCGTAGATAAGGAGAGTCACGAAGTTGTGCGACTGTGGTCATCGTGCGAAGTCGAGATGCCTGGAACACAGATATCACTGTATTATAGGGAGTCGGATCTGATGCACGTGCTGTGGTTTCTTAGGAATGTGCTGTAAAGTGCGTCGGAGGTACGATGTGAGGGACAGAATGCGTTTTCGCGAGGCTTACAACGAAAGCTCCTCTCGATCACGAGCATAAGTAAATCTTCCTGACGCAAAAGCGGACAACTAGATGAGTCAGAATATGTAGAAAAATTATTTGTAGGGGTTTGTGCTTTCCATGGCTTCTCTCCGAAATTCGTGAAAATGGCACTGGAGGTGTTCTGTCGCCTGAGCAGCACTTCCAAGATATGTAGCGCAAAACGGAGTCGCCATCTGCTGGGGTTCCTACCCCGTCCGAACCCGTAAGTCATGGGCTTCGTTGTCAAGGACACAGCCATCACTAGTCCGTGTACACACCCACTGGCAGAATAACATGCCCCGGCAAGGGGCAACGCGTACGCAGATGACACACGGATAAAATGCGATATACTCAGTCGGAATTCGGCGGAATGGCGAGCTACTGAGCTACGCCCCGATATCGAGTAGACGACTAAGGTACGAAGGTAGCTACCAGAGGAAATGAATCCTTATGAGACGACTCAAGCGCGTCTCCTCGTCGGCCCAAACCACAATAAGCCTAATTGCTAAACCATTGATCTGAGCCGTTCGCATCCGTATCACCTGTCGTCGTCAGCAGCTCTGTGCCACCCTTACGTTTTGATTCGTCACCGTGGCGAGCAACCATCCGAGATTCCACGTAATACTTGCCGTCCGGAAACTTCGATATGGTCACGAGGTAAACATGTCACCATCATCCAACGTCTCCACCACAGTGACTCAGAGATCGGGCCAACCGTTCGCAGGTTCCCAGACCGAACGGCAAGCAGTGCAATCAAGGAAACGATATATACCCTGTGTAGTTCACCTACGGATATCCTCAGAACTTCAAAGTTCACTGCCTGAAACATGTCGCTTCCCAGGAATACCACCGTACTAATTGTTGGAGCCGGCCCAACCGGGTTGGCTACCGCTTTGTCTCTTATACGCCATGGGTTTAAAGATTTCGTCGTCGTGGATGCTCTTGTCAAAGGGGACAATAGCTCCCGCGCTGTCGTTGTCCATGCTGCCACCTTGGAAGTAGGTGTTCCCTCAGAAATTTGATATCCATCCCCCTCGAACAACATTATGCACAGGCTCTCGATACGATAGGCTGCGGAGACGAGTTGATCTCCAAAGGCACGAAGATGACCGCGATGAATTTGGGCACTCGAACGACGGCGTTGGCTTATCCTCAGTTCGAGGGGCTGAAACCATATACCCGCCATCCTTACGGACTTGTTATACCTCAGCCATTCACGGAGCACATCCTAGGGGAAAAGCTTGCCAGCCTCGGTGTTACTGTGCACCGCCCACACAAGGTTGTAGCTATGAAAGTAAACGTGGACGATGCCAACCTCGCGGACATTATATTCGAGGACGGGCAAGTCATTACGACGAAATATGTCATTGCTGCAGACGGCGCACGTTCTACGGTTCGTATATGTGCTGTTTGCCCCCGTAACCATCGTTATAAAGAGCGTTTTAGATTCGCACCGTCGCTGGTATTGCCTTCACGGATCCGAAGAGCGGTCTCGGAGACGACTCCACCTGCCTTGCACAGCTCGCTCAAGCGGATGTCACGTTCGATACCCCGGACTTGGACAACATCACCTTTAGAGGTGTCATGTCTCCAAGTAATTTCTCTCTCTCCATTCCCCTCCCTTTGACTTTCAACGAATACCTTGCCAAAGAAACCGGTAAATCTGTCGAAGGGAGAATTTTCAGAGTGATATGTGGCGCACCAGTAGAGGATGGGCCCATCCCACAATCACCGTCGAAAGAGTACATGCAAAATCTCCTCGATAGATACGGTTCCCTCGGCCTCTCATCAGATCCTACTGTCAACCCCAGTGGGAAAGCCGTCCGCATAAAGGACGTTTTCTGGTGTTCCCGTTTCCGCACCCACTCTGCCATTGCGGATACTTTCTTTACTCGTCTTTCCTCTGGAGACTCTTCAACACCCGAAGGAGCAGCCATCCTCCTCGTTGGCGATGCTGCCCATATCCATTCTCCAGCTGGTGGGCAAGGCATGAACCTCGGTCTTCGGGACGCAGTCTTTCTCGGGGAGGTGCTCGTGAAGCACATCCGAGTGACGGAGTCTGCGTCTTTATCTCTACCGGAAGCCGATCGCATCCTTATCGAGTTCGTGACAAAGCGTCGTGCTCGCGCACTCGAGGTCATCGGGCTCACGAAGAAGATTCTTGCGCTCTTCGGTGTGAAGGATGAGATTTTTGCATGGTGGTTACCCGTAAGCAAGTTGACTATTCGGGATTGGACGCTATGGGTGTTAGGAAAGGTGGGGTATGTACAAAAGCAGGCTGCATGGAACGTTAGCGGGCTGGGTCGTAGGTAGCTGCTGAGTGTCGTGATTTGTTTCTTGCCACTCTCCACTCGTCGCTTTCACGAATCTTACGAAGTTACCTATTCACAGTGTAATCTCAACATGTATTACAGTGTATTTCAAGTTCTTGTGTGCACCTTTAGAACGTCATGTCTTTGAGTGTTTAGTTGTTCGTGGGATCGCATTATGTAGGAGACAACTTCAAGCCCTCCGCACTGCCGTCACCGTGGGCACCCTCGATACAAAGAGAGAGTGGCACACCTATTCGCCAGAGGCGACGGTCCTATTAGAGGCATGGCCTAGGTCACAGTGACCGAGAGGTAATCTCCGGAACGTCTCGAGTCGGTTCAAACATCTGGCTTCGAATCGGCCGGGTATTATCGCAGGCGATTGGGGCTTCCGGTCGGGCGACGCCCGGGCTCCAGCCCTGACGACTTTTCAGGCGGGTACGACAGCCGGTAGGTGTATTCTTCGTCTCCTGGACCATTTGGACTCAATTGCATAGACTTCCTCATGCCAGCATGCTAAGACCTCCAGCCTCCTCCGGTTCGAGGAAGAACTCTGAAGTCACAACTGCTAGGCAACATAGCTTGACCCCAAAACCTTTGGTCCTGTTGGAGGAATTCCCTTTTCTACACACGTTTACACATCTACAGTTGCTGAATTCGTGCTCGGCATGTATAAGCTCCGGTCGAAATGAATCATTCGCTAGCTTCTGCCATCGAATTTTGCCCATACACAGGCTCGCTCAGGACCCGGTAACACAAACTAGGGAGGTATGATACCGGTCTATTATGTTGACATTTGCTTCATGAGTCATGAGAAACCTACTCGTTGTATGGCCGGGGAGTCAAGGCTAATTCTGTCCCGCTCTGACTCTGGATGAAGCGTGGAACACTGACAAAGCCGCTTTTCGTTCAACTGGGCGAGAATTATCCTCTGGATGTTTGGCTTGCGAACTTTGTTATGGACAATCCATTCCCCAAAGGCAAGGTATTTAAAGCCTGTGTTGAGGCTTGCATGAGGGAGCTCTACAGCGCTATAGCGATCGTTATCGCTTCTCCAACTCGATATGCGGTTGACAAAGACCATTGTTTGCCTTACACTGGCCATTGCGCCAGTTCTTGCTAACCCTATGGCTATGCGAAAGAACAAGGTACGCGTTCTATACTTCATTCGTCCACACTCGCCACTCACAAGTCATTTCTCCGAAGGAGTACTCCTGTAAAACTCACAAAGGAAACTACAAAATCGACGAAGACAAAGCCAAGAACAATGTCCATCATGCCCCCTTGCACCCTGGGCGTACTGGATACCCTCACAGGCTTCACCATTACTCTACTCATGGCGACGAGCACCATGAGCAAGATTATTACCATGGCCTTGAGTTCGACAACAAGAAATGCAACAAAAATGGTGCCCGCTTGCTCGCGTTCCCCCTCTTCGAAGACGGCCATCTATACCCCTATGATAAGGAGCCTAAGGCTGACCCAGGTTTAGTACGTGCCGTCTATACCGCACCAGGCAAAGACTTCTGCGGTATCCTCCATGAAGGTGGGGAACGTGGTCTTTACGAGTTCTGTGTTTGAGAATCTAGAAGGTATAGTATATTCGTTTTCGCCCTCCGTACTGCAATCTGACGCTGCCGGTTCAGGTCATGCAGGACAGTAAAAATGGATTAATGGGTGTAAAGTAGCAGCAACGCCAACTGAATGACCCAAGAGTCAATCTCGCTGCTCGTTTTGATCAGTTCTATTTTACAATAGATAAAAGTCGGTAGGGTATCAGAGTAAAGATAGCAGATTTCTGAGATTTGCTAACCGAACAAACTACGGTGCAACTAAAAGAGTACTCTCGACACCGGGGATTACGTTGCTTCACAATACCCACCTTCGGTACTTGATTCCCAGCAAGCTCAAGTACTAGTTTCGTCTTTGCGACGCGGCCCCCTCGTACTCCAACTTCCCAAGGAAAAACTCCGGAAGTCTAAAGCCCCGATCACCCTTGGCAGCGACCCATTCAGAGTGTATGTTCCATCTTCGCCTCTTCAACAGTTTGCGTTCTTGTTGCTCGGATATGACGAAGTGAGTGTCTCGCGTTCCAGGACGTCATGCAGCATCCAAATAGTAGCGAAGGCAGAGTTGGATAGACTGTCGCACATGAGAATGGTAACAAGTGCATGAGCATTTTTAATGATCGATCGTTCAATGCTGAAGACCTCTCGAATCAGGATCGCGATGGCGACCACATCCCAGGCATTCTTTTTGCTGGCCGACGGCCGCACAGCCTTTTCTCTGATGGGTTTATAGGGGAGGGAAGGAGGGATTCACATTTCAAGTGGTTGTAGTAGCCCATGATGACAAGGAGGACGATTAGCTTACCCTATACACCATCTCCGCCTTAGGCCGTCGGTTAATCCGCGACCGTCGCTTCCCATCCAACCTCACTCCGCCTCTGTGCGCTGTCCCAACCTTCCTTCACCTCCTAGGCAAGACATCGTTCACAAGGATTATGTACTCAGCACACACATTGTCCCGCTGCGCAGCCCAGAGTGGTTCCAGATGTACCCCTTCCCGAGATCCCTACCGCATTCCAACTCCACGTCACCCGCTGAAAGGAAAGAACAGATAGCAACAGTCGTCAAGCAACTTATCGAGAGGCAGGAATGTTTCACGTAAGGGAGAATGCCTGGTGGACACGGCCAGAAACCACTCTGGAACTGCGTCAACCGCTATGTCAGGACCTGTAGACGCGGTACTGTGAACACTGGGTTGACTTTGTTCCTCGCCCATGCGAATGGGTTCCCAAAGGAGGCGAGTCGAGCTGCACTTCACTCTAAGTCCCAAACAAACCAGGCATCTAGATATGGGAAATCATGTTACGAAGCCTCTTGGATTCGCCAGCTGCCCCTTTAGTGGATGAAGTATGGTCTTTTGAAGCCGTTCAGCATGGTGACTCGGCTCTCGTGAATGCGGAAAACTTGGGTGGAATTTGTAGGGGAATCTTGGTAACCAGTAATCATTGAGTTTAATGACTTCTCAGTTGACACGCAGGACAACACTCGCGACAATGCTAACTTTCTGTTATACTACCTCCCGGACGAGACTACACCAACACCCTTGCCTACACAATTATCACGAATTTCGCAAGCCACAAGCGACGCCCGCAAAGAACATGGATTCCGCCAGCGGAAACTTGTCGTCGGTCATTCGTTTGGTGGCGCCACATCGTAGGTAGATGGCTGCGACCTTGGGTAGTTACTCACTTCTTTCGTGCAGTGTACTTTCGTGCCCCTCATCTCCACTAATGCCCATAATTCTGAGTATCGAGAACAAGCTTCTACAACCAACAGTTTCACCCTGGACCTTGGGCTACCCTTGCCACCACTCGCGAGGCGATATACCATTTCCGTGCGATGCAAGCATCGATAGCCCCTAGTCAACTTAATATCTTGACCAAGCCACTAAATAAGTTGAGTTGACCAAAGCCGATGTGCTGACATTCTCTTATTTACCTAGGGATGGAATCTTTGCAGCAGTTCTCGCAAGGCAGGCGCCGATACTTAGCTTCTTCTCACCTCTATACTCCCAACGCGATCAAATGCGCATTCCATGTAGAAAAAACCTGCTTTTAGATGTATCTTTCCATCAACATTGTGCATCGAGCTCGTGTCCCTTCGTAAACAATGTCCAAATGGCTAGGAAATATGCGAAGACAGTACAAAGAGTGGTCGATTGAACGTGAGTCTTAGTTATGATGAATATCTTTGACCTTGATGCAAAATTTACGATCTCTCTGTATTTGAGATTTCGCTGCGAGATCGTTGCGTGCCTGGGTGAGTAGATGACCCACCCTGTATTTCTTAGAGGGGCTGCTACCCACCGCGTTATCGACCGGCGCTTGTCACAGGCTCTGTTGTCATTTGTCCGTGAACACGCCACGGTCACCACCAATCGCATTTGGTTGACAGAGGGGATCCTTAGAACCACTCAGATCGGCAAGGGGGTAGAAGCAGATACGACGTATATCGTCATTGAGCTATAGGAATAATTCGAAACGATCGTGCACGAGTTTTCGAAAAAGGCGAGTTGATATATCATCAAATCTGTCCTGGATAATGAGCTTGAGCGTGCTTATTGTGCTGAGGCGCTGCAATGTATCCCCTTTTGAGCTTTCCGCGTTACAATCCTGTCAACAATAAATACTGGCGGCTAAGGTGGCAAGCGCCGAGGCACTGGCTCAAGTGTTCACGTTCATGAGCGATCGATCATGTGGGCTTCAATAATATCTCCGGACGGATCATCTTACAGAGGACCGTAGAACGGAGCTTCCACAGGCTTCCACCTGCTCATTCCTTTACTGTAGGCGACGGCCCACGTACAGCGCTTACACCGGTACCGTTTGTAGGTCGTGCGCGCAGACGATAAGCCACTGCCAATCATCGCCAAACTTCCACCCCGCCGCCTTAATCATTTGGGACTATCGGAACACCAGAGAAGGAGACAGGCAAATTGATGCGCGGAGTGGGTAAGGGGAGCAAACCCTACGATCATCGACCGAGAAGGGGAGATAGTTGATCATTTCAATTCCACGGGGCAAGAAATGCGCGCGCAAGTCTGAAGTCGATCTATTGGTGGGGGAATGTGTTTGGATAACATATGCACGTATGTGTGACACGAGGTGGAAGTATATGTACAAGAAAAGTTATGAACAAGGCAACAGGTAAAACTGAAGTAGGATGTAAGTGAACGCAAACATCGTAATGACAGGAACGGGGGTTAAAAGATAGATGAAGGATAATAACCACTGTTCGAACTCATCGTAGTGAAAATGGGAATGTACAAGAATACAATACTAACTGCAGAAATCCTAATACTTGCCAATGAAAAGAGATGAGGAACAATCGGAGCTGGCCAGAGAGGTAAGGAGCTGTCAAACAGAGGCTGGAGGATTTCGTCTTCCCTACGACCATACCGTTTCACCCGCATCCGTTCCCGTACCGGTTTTGACTTCTCCAGCCAACCGCTGAACCACGTTTTCCGGGGAAAGCCTTGCAGGCTGGTCACTGAACAACGCGGACTGCTGCTCAAACAATGTTGGAGCATACTCCACATAATTCCCCATATTACCCATGAATAGATCGCAGTTTTGCAACCCGATAGCGTATGCTTCAAGCGCTTGCGCGCGTTCCATCTCGTCATACGACGATGCTTCCCTGTCCACAGGGCTATATGCGAAGTGGCTAAGTGAGTTACTGGACCCCATTTCCGTGACTGCACGCTCAACGGGGTGAGCAGGTAGCTCTCGTAAACCATAGGTGAGTACATTTTCGTCCGCGCTCACGTCGGACATATCATGCGGGACACTTCCCGTCATAGGCGGAGGTGACGACGATGATAACTGAGATGAAGAGGAGGGGGCGTAGCCAGAGCCACCCACAGAGCTCATAACGGACCCGGAGGGCGACAATGGCCCAAAATGACCATCCCACCCTTCCAGAGACGACGTCACGTTGTTAAGAGGGACCGTCGCACCAGCAGATTGCTGATGGTCTTCGAAAGGTGCATCGAGGTCGACAGAGAGACCAGCGGATGGATATGGAAGGGGATATTCGCATTCGGATTGTCCCAGCTGCCATATTCCATCGGACGACTGGAGTATGGGAATCAGCACAGCTTTCACCGGTTTGAAGCCAAGTCGACCCACCTTGTTCTGCTGGTCTACGCAATTCGCCTCAGGTGGCAGATCGGATGGACATAACCCTGTTGCTGCGATAGGCTGCCGAAGGTCCAGTGCTGCATGTGGCGGGAGATGCAGAACCTGTGCTACACAGTCCGATGGTTCTCGAGCAATGACAATCCCGTCGATCAACGAGTATGACCTGCAATCGGGTTGCATCGAAGGAACGAAGGGCGGAGTGGATAGTAGATCTCGCCGGGGAACGGACGTTGACCGACTACGCCCCGCACTTTCAAAAGCTTTGTTTGTGCGTTCGGAGGTCGGACTGAGTGGCATGGCGGCCACGTTCTCGTTGTGAGAGTGGCTAGACGCCGCCAGTGAAGACGGGTGGATATTAATGGCGCCCTCAAATGTGATGCCGCTATTTCCCATGTGTTCGAAACATGCCGTCTTGCTCGCCGAGGTTTGCCTCCGCATAGGACGGAACCGGTAATGAGGATAAAGGCGAGCATGCTCCTCCCTCTCTCTATCAGCGAGACGCTTATACTTGTCTTTCTCGGGAGTGGGCAGTTTCTTCCACGCCTCTCCGGCACGTCTCGAGAGCGTTTGAGTGAGAGATTGTTCGTCCAATTCCTGCGAGTTCCGAACAGCGTGTTTGCGGGTGTAGTTGCAACGAAAGATGATAAAGGCATTGCGGGGTCTAGGAATCCAAGTAGGGTCACGGCTACGATTTCGTTGTGCCCTACGATCCGATGAAGGTGCCATCGGAAAGCGATGGGTGGCCAAGACAGGGGAAGAGCCGGTGTGCTGAGCAAACCGTGTATATGATGGCGTGGCTTTATCTTGGGACGTTTCTGATGTATCTTCGGTATGGATTTGAGGTTTGGGGTGGTCAGCCGGACAAGTAGAATTGGTGAAGACAGACTGAGTTGAGACGTATACCTCTTCCTCGTTACCTTTGGTTGGTGACCAACCACGAAGAACGAGTTTTGTCGAAGAGAACGGCATCATCGTCAGGTAAGTGTCGGTGAGAAAGAAGGTATACGTTTGGAACAGGCGTTTCAACGTATGTATGACTGTCGAGACTATAAGGACTCGGAGGTATAGTCAACCATGGTACTGGCGGCGTGTCAGTTGGGACGACGGGACAAAGGGACCTGAATGTCGAAATATGTGGGATTTGACATGTCTCGAGCCCCACCTATCTCTGCGCCGGCCTGCGGTTGGACAGACAAACACCGACGATGGCGTAGAACAGGAACCAGTGAGACGATCTACCATAAATGGAGATCACTTCGATCATGATCGAACCTGTCACTTCAGCTGTCAATGTGGTCGCTTTTATTATGTTTTATGAATGCAAGTCAAAAACTCTCTGCGAACCGACACGTATCGCTTTTTGTCTTTGTCGCTGTCCAGCTGCCACAGAAAAAAAATTGACAGGGAGGTCCGTCACTACTAGATGGCTTGAAATTTGATCAATGCGCAATGCTGCTCTGGACGGAAGCGGATTGATTTTGGAAATTGGCGGGGCCCGGTACCCATGATGAGCCACACTTCTTCCGGAATGAACTGAATTTTTGGAAGCGGCTGGACGGGGGTTGATGGCTACAAGTCAGTGCAAAAATCTTGAGTTGGAAGTGCTGAAAGGTGCTGAACTGCATGTACCAGGATCACTCGTCGCGCGCGGCAATTCTCGGCAGTTTCGCGCCATTTCAAACAGCGATACCAACAAAATGCTGTTCCGCGCTGCCGCACAGAGCGGAGTGTGAATTTATCGCCCAGCCCGGGGCCCCTATACTACGTTCCGCAACAGAATTTTAGATAGTGCACCTTAAGTTTCCCCATAACTTGCTAACCTTGCCATGCATTATATTTCCCCAAAAAGAACGAGTTCATTGATTCCTAGGATCTCGCAAGAATGCCACAGCACTGGAAATGGTGATCCGATTTCATGTCACTCTCCTATTGGGCAGAGAGCGACCACAGCCTATTTCTCGCTTATTGCGGTATGTACATTGGCTATCTCCCATATTATAGGGTGTGATAGTTTATAGTGTATACCATATTGCAAGCAAGAAACAAGATAGTCGTACATTACCCGTTGCGCGATACTACCATGTAAGTACTGTAGTAAGTTCTATATCCTCTATAGTAAAATACCATTTTACACAAACGTCATTGGAGACAAACTGCTTGAAGGCCTGCCCATCTCGCGTCCACATCACACGTCACCTGTCCGTAAGTCCATAATAGACCCCGATCGTGGCAGCTCAACGTGATCGATATGATCCGAGAAGGCGTCCGCGTCAAGCTTAAACCAACTCAACAAGGTAACTCTAGTGGAGCAGGCTGTTAGCCATTGAAGATAAAGACCTTTGCAATTCAAATTGTTAGAATTGAGCGTAGTGCTCCAGGAGAAAATGCTAAGCGAAAGCATTAATGCCGTTGTCGCCAGTCGGCACCTCATGGAGCCTCCGCGAACTGATTTGCCAACTGGCCGTGTGGCGAAATGGCATCGCGTCTGACTACGACTGAAAGCAGTCCATCAGGAGATTGTAGGTTCGAGCCCTATCTCGGTCACTTTTTTTCGAAGCGCCTTTGCTTGCGGTTGTACGATGAATGGATCTACATACTGCAGTGGTAGATGATGAATTGATTTACGCCAACCCAGAACTGTCCAATACGCTTCTGGAAACTACACTACCGCTAATAGGACAGTTGACAGTCGTTGAAGGCTGCCTAATCTCAATGCAAGTAGCAATCCCCTACGTGGTTTTCACCTGCCAAACTATCTTACCATAAGGCGTTGCAGATGTACCCTCTTTCCCTCCAGGTTCTACCCAAAAAGCAACCTCGTAGACACCAGGTCCCCGTCCGGCAAGGTACGCTTCTTCGTCCTCGTCCACCGGCGCACTCAAAATTAAGCGTGGCCTTAGTACCCCCAATCCGGAATGTGGGGTCTCCAGGGACCATGTATAACCCGACGACGAGTGCTCAACTGGGGGATCTCCAACCACTGATGTCAGTTGTGACGATTGAGCATCCAGTGACTCGGCCATCGTGAGTATCCGGACGTGTGAGATTCCAAGTACTCCAGATGGATGTTTCGAGTTCGAAGGCGGGTCAATTGGAACCTGCGAAGCGTTTATTTGGATAAAGAATCAGTATACCCGTCTTTAACCCTCAAATACTTACCCTCCACTTTCTCGGTGTCACATCGCCACAGAAAAATGGGAGTGTTCCACGCTTTCGTTCCTCGTGAGGCGCCGTGATCATCCACTTCAACGTCTTGCCATCCTCGCGCACGCGTCCTCCATCAACCTCAGGATCGTACGCCGCGCCAGATCTATCCAGATCGGCACGTTCATTGATTATGCGCGCGATAGAGACATCGGGATCAGATGAGCCTAGGAAAGCGTAGTCAATCCATCCGGGGTGTTTATACGACCACGGATTCGAGTCGCGCTTTTGGCGATCCGGTGAAGTTGGAGGGTAATGCGAGGCCGGGTGAGTGAAGGAGATGAGTTCGAGGTACGACCCGTCGGCTAGGATCTGTTGAGGACGTCATATTCGGTTCCATATCGTCATAGAAAAGTCTTATCGAGAGACACAAGGAGACTTACTACCAATGCGTTCGCTGTTAACCCTCCTGTATGTGTCCCTCCTGGAGTAACGCTTAGAGTGATTCAGTGTTCGACATATAATGTGATAAGATCGGTCATCCTCGTACTTGAACCCCAGATCTCGGAACTGCTGGGACGCCAACTCAACTGTTCCTGGAGGGGTCAGGTGGACGATGTGGTCCAATATCTTTGTCGATGGCTCAGACATACTTCTAGTGTTCAAAAGTTCTGTACTAATACAGAGCTGAAAAGAACCGAACGAAGGATTTGTAGATAAGGGCAAATCATAATTTAGAGCGTCCATATCGATGGCGAAATTAAACCTCAAGCGCCTGCGTTGCCCCCCAAGATTTGGGTAATTGAGTGTCCACGATGCAGTCCGTGCGTCCGTAAGTGATCTTGGGTGGATTCGCACGTGCAGATTAGCTTCATGCCAAATCTGCAAACCCAACTCTCGACTGTCCCATGTCAAAGACCGTGTAAACGTTCCGAAGGAATGCATCGCCAAGAATCAGGGTATCTGATGGATGACCATGATCGGCCCTTCAATCACAAGCGGGAATAAAGAGGAAACACGCACTGCCTAGACTGCCTGTTGCAGTGAAGGCACCCACACATTGCGAGCTACCAGTAGGGTAGGTTCCAAGGTTGAACGTTGTGGAGGAAAGAGAAAAGGCCGTTCCTCCGATGGTGATGCTGATACTAGGCATCGAATCACAGTCCACTATAATGCATTATAGAAGATGTAGCGATAATATGTAGAGAGGACACACGTGTGTAAAACCCATTTCCAAGATCTGTGGCATTTAATGAGGCGTAGAACGGCCCAATCGTGTCTAGGTCGCCAAGGATGAGTGTTGTACCCGTATCGATGATCGCAGTGAACGAAGAAAGAGTCGCGTTCCCGTTGGCACTAATAGCATCTCCGTCGAACTGCCAAAACCCCTGTCCATCAAGTGTCAGTAGTCCATGTCTACAAATCTGACATCACATCGGTTCACCTGCTGCGTGACGGGTGTGTATGTCAACGAGCCACTGTACAAATCAGAGTTAATGCCACCCAATCGTAGCTCAGAGCCGGACGAGGCGAGTTTGACAGCGAAAACTGGATCGGAGATGACGTTGTTGTCGATGAGGGTTTGAATGACAGGGTCAGCACCGTATATAGATAGGCTCTTGAAGCCCATGCCCATCAAACCGTCGGCAGGAAAAGTCGGTGATTGTAGATTTGAAGAGTATTGCGTAGCTGCGCCGAAAGTTTGATTGGTTGCCTGAGGTGCTGTTAGGCATTGGCATTAAGAGGGCAGCAGGATGCGTACCGTATAGCCTGCTATGACAACGGTGTCGGTGTACTGTTCACCTTGAACAGAGGAACCATCTCCGTAGGAAAGCATGAAGGTCTGACCCAGACTCGCGGCAGTCGAGCTGGTGTTTGGGTTGTACAGCGTATGACCATTGCACGTCGAATCACAGCTGGATGAAGGTAGGACTAAATCGGCGGAACCAGTGTCGAAATCCACTGTGTTGACTCGATCATATCGTACATAAAGCAGAGCGCAGGAAAGTACCAACCCAGAAAATCAACTGCGGGTGTACCAACAGAGATGGTACCATACCACAGCACATTGTTCCCATCCGTAAGAGGGATACTGCCTGTATCGCGTCGAGTGGGATGTACAGCCGGTGTATCAGATATCGGTCCAAGAGAACGGAGCCTTGATGATATTTTCCTGGTAAATTCAGATAAGATTGCGGGTATACAGGTGGCGGTGTCGAATCCCATACGATTCTGAGAAAGCAAGATGTGAAATAGCCTTGTCGATGTCAAATGCACCATCGACAGTGGTCAAAGAAGACCTCCTGAGCGGGATGGAGACGAACGAAGGATGTGGAAGGGCAGCCACCAGGACTGTCAAGGCTGCGAAGAGAATTAAGTGGGATAAGGGACACATACCGGACGAGACAATCGAACCGAATAAATGAGTCGTATATGCATGAGGCCTTAGAGCCCTTTATACCAGCGCCGCAGCAGAGTTGGCAGTGCTCGCATGGTGAAGCAAGGTGGGTGGCTCATGTCCGCTAAAATTAACAACAGGCGGTGTGGATATTCGTACCGTCGCATTACGCCCGTCCACGGAGAACGACGGCCTATCGCCTTTCGTAAAGAAAAGTCATTATGCAAAGGTTGCATAATTCCTGGGGCACCTACATACTGAATTTGAGAGTTGTCAATCGTTGGAACTTCATATCGTGGTCACCCGACTAGTGGCATGCGTAATATTTCACGCGGTAACTGAGTCGGGTACGGGGCACGTGGCCACTTAACCGGTCTCTCCCCCCTTCTCACTCTACAGCTTGACCATCAATCTGATCACCCCAGCGCAAGACATTCCTATGGCATCACAGTGTCAGTTGTGGTCCTTCGCTTGGACGGTGCAGCCCGAGGCGTGTTGTTTGACGTCGCTTACGACCACCCTGCAGCTCCAGATCTGTCTGTTCAGACACTCTTCAACGTGGGAGGTAAAATAGGTGCGTAGATAATGCGAGTGTTCTGGTGAAAATGGGGCTACTAATAGAGCCCACGTTTCATCACCGTGTCGACTGCTTGCTCATTCTCGATTCACCTAGCCCTCGTGACCGGCGGAGGAACGGGAATCGGAAAGACAATCGCCTCTGCGCTCGCTGTGAACGGTTGCAAGGTATACATCGCAGCTAGGAATGAAGCTCGACTCAAGGAAGTAGGTGTAGAATTCCTTCGGGGTTAGCTTCCTATTCATGTTTTGTCAGGCAGCAGAGGAAATAAACGCACAAGTACCGGGCAGTGTGTACCCCATCGCTGCGAATCTCAGCGTACGTGGAACAACTGCTCATATTCGTTCATCCCTCGTCTCATCCGGCAACCTATAGGACAAAGCCGGCGTCGATGCTCTCATATCCGCCCTTGCTGCGCTGGAGCCATCAAGAAAGCTCCACATTCTCGTGAATAACTCTGGCGTGGCATGGGGTGCGCCCTTCGATGCCGTTCCAGAGCGGAAAGGCTGGGACAATGTCATGGCAGTTAACGTGAAGAGCGCGTTCTACTGTGAGTGTATCATATTCCCTTGCAGGTTGACTTCAAGTTCCTCATTAGGTTATGTGTCATTGCATAATGCACAGTGACCGCAGGGTGAGTTTCCTCAGTAACGTCTATGTGCGATACCGCTAATGATACGTCGCGATCCGCGAATAAGGCTGTCATCATGGCTTGCGAAGAATTCAACGGCATTAGATCCTGGCCGTGTGATTAACATTTCATCGATCGCAGGCTACTCGCCCCACTCAGAAGGTTTAGTGAGCGCTGAAGGACATGGAACTTATAGTTGTCAGTCCTTTCAGGCTTGAAACTGTGTGTTCTGGCTACATTCTTAACTTGTCACAGATAATGTCAGCAAAGCAGCGCGTTAGTACCTGGTGCAACCACGCCTTGACAGCGCTGATCGATGTCTTCCTATTCAGTAAACCACCTCACTTCGGTGTTGGCAGCCAAATTGGCTCCAGAATTGGTCACGTATGTCGCCCATATTCAAATTTCTCGGTACATTTCTGTTAATTTGAGATGTACAGTGTCAACGCGATTTGCCCCGGGTACGTCACTGCATTTCTATCATCGCCATTCTGGTTACTGACATGCTTTCTAGGATGTTCCCAACTAAGATGACATCCTTCGCTTACAAAACAGCAGGTGAAGATGGTATCACCGCACGACAGCCCACCGGTACGCATGATTTGTCCGCACGGACGACCCAAGGTTTAACGTTGTCTTCTTAGGCAGATTTGGTATACCATCTGATATCGCAGGTGTCGCTATCTTCCTCTCCTCACCTGCAAGCGCCCACGTCACAGGTGCACACATCGTACTCGATGGCGGTTCCACGCTCTCGACCCACGGCATCGCACCTCAGCCTAGGCTGTAACGTGGTATGAATGATTTTCACGGAGATTAAACCAATTGACTTGCTCAACTGATGTCATAGAGGGCTGTGTTTGCGTGTTCCGACTCCAACCGGTCATCATTCGTTTCTTTTGTTATTCTATTCCTGGGAATGCTGGAACTAGAGACAGATCCATACTTTGTATTGGAGGAAATCCAAAGGAGCGGTGCACCGAAGGTCGCTGCGCGATAGGAAGCAAATGACCATGGAAGCTGTGGTAATCCATCGGAAGAAACGAGTGTCAATCCACGAAAAAAATGTTTAGTATCGTGTCGATTATTTGAGGTCGATACAAATGTGTCAGTCTGTTGTACATATACCTATACTTAGTGTCTCAGTGTCTTGTTCACCGGAGTGACTCAGGTCCAATTATCGTGACTTGAACATGGCGATACTATTGTACATATATTTCGCACGTGAGCCCCCCCGAGACAACATCTCTATCTCTCGCCTGCCAATGAACGCTCTTCGGGGGCAGTTTGCAAAATCATATCCTCGACACCTACATGAGGGAAGTAGGATAATCAACTTTTGAGAGGCGATAGACATGGCACGCCGCTACACCGGATGTATAAGATACCCATCAACCACAGTGAACTATCCACCGATCCCACTGAACGCAATCCTGGTATTATTGCAGGGGGCTGACCAGTTCAAAACACGGCTCCGGTATATTGACGAGGTTGTACCCCCATCCTCATCAGTAAATTCAGCCAAATTACAGCATGCACGTTAGACAGTTTTTGAATGCTCGGCAAACACTGGCGAACATTAAGCGCTTGAAAACCCAGGTTTTTGAACGCTTAGCTTTACTGATGCTCCGAATAGAATATGACCGAGAGCCCCAGTGGACCCGCGACTAGTTAGTCTATAAATTCCGGGTACCCACCACTAAGGCCGATATACAGCTAATCCCCGGTCGCTGATTCGGGAAGAACAATGTGGTTCAGTAGGTAACACGGCCGATTTTCAAAGTGATCGAGTCTCAGCGCCACGAGGGTTTGCATTGGTGCCGTAGAATTGACAAGGTTGTATACTAACTTTGGGAGCAGTAGCCCATCCGAAGACTTTTCGAGGGGTAGGTACGACTGACGACGTGACCAGTCAACAAGAATATGGCCAATCCTTAGCATGGAAGAACTCAGAGAAAAGTGGGAGCTCCGCTGTCCTTGTCGTCCTAAAAGTCCAAGCCCAGTGCTGTGATACTGGTACACAAGTACTGGAAGGCTGCCCAACTATCCTTTGAAACGTGAGTACTTCAGGTGGGGAAAGCACTCAGGACGGAACAATGAAAGATCGTAGGCTTCTGATCTTCCGTGCAGGAAGCCCGGGGTTTTAAACATCCAAACTATGTGAGTGACGGAAAGAAGTTTCAAATGATCGAGTCTTTCCAAAGCAGGAGGAATGTAGACGGCTCCGATATCTTGCTCGACAACAAAACTGCAACAGGGATTCTTGAACGGACAGGGAGGTAATGTTAGACAACGCAATAATTCCTTCTCACTCGTACCATAGGCCGAGAACTCCAGACTTTGGTATCAAGATGGTATCAAGAGGTGATTTCAAGCTCCAAGCCAGCTGACCCAGACATGGGGGCAGTCATTTGTGCCATACAAATGTCCTCCCCTTTGTCTGAGTCAGTGACATAATAGTACTCCAGAGGCTCTGGAATCTCCTCCGTTGCCCAACGAGATGATACGTGAGGTGCAACAAATCTCTTTTCCAATGGTGATGGACATCGCATGACTCGAATTCGGTACTAGCTATTTCGAGGATTCGTACAAGCAGCAGTTCATTGGGAGGCGGACCGGTAGGGCAACGGGTATTCGCCTAATAGCAAGTTGCTAGACAAGTAGCATCGCGGATGGTGACTTGGGTGATCCTGCTCACCTTTTCTAACGTGGGCAGTGCCGCTTGTGCTTCAGAGAGCTCGTCCATAGCTGGAGCATCGTCACGGACTAGTTCGAGATGCAAAAGTGTTTACAGCGAACGTGCTCTCGGCGAGTGGCGATCACCGTGAGAGAAAAGGCAGAGTACACGAGTCTCCTCCGTGTTTTGAGTATTTATTATCACCACGGACCGCTGGAGGCGTTGGTAAACTTTGAAATTGATTTGGAGATCCAGCGTTACTGGCGGGAACACTACTGACTTCTCTCCCCTACTCGAGACTAAAAGTCGACCTCCCGAGACCAAGCTGTGCGCAGTGTCAAGTTGACGCAGGACTTATTAGATGTCACGTCGTGCAACCTCACGGGTGAATAATCTGCTTCCTTTCGTAAAGTGGCAGCAACTGTGTTGTCATCAACAGTCATTGCAAGGCACCCGAGTATAATAAGGTCGAGGGTGCATCGATGCCATCGGTAGCAAGTACGACAGGTCCGTGGGACTGCTGCTGCATGGCTATATCAGTAAGTAACCTGCTTCGATTCGCCAACGCATATTCCCTTTGGTGGTGATAGGCGCGCAATTCCTTATCAACTAGATGCTCGTTGCGGACCGATATCGAGACTATTACCTTGCAAGATTATTCGCCGTCATCATGGTTTCGTGACCACACGTAATTCAATTTTCTGCAACGTGCGGAACGGTAGGTACGTTCAATTGTCATTATCTTGGTGAGTCCAAAGGTGCTCCTTTTACGTTTTCAGGGTCCTCGTCGATATAGTTGACCTAGCCATATTCAGGGAAAGGAGGAGTCGAGTTCGACACGAGTCCTATCCTTCTTTCGGTTCGAACTGCGTGTCTGCCGCTTTTTACTCGGAAACGGCTCCTGCTCGGATGCACCGTTACACAGGAACAATTGGGGTTCGTAATTCCACAAATTAGTACCCGTACCCAGCCTTATAGCTTGGTACCCTTGATGATCCTTCTCGTGATGCATATGTTGGTCACCAATATACGATGGTCCCCGTCTCTGTCGGCTTGCCAAGACCCTGCATTCTTAATGGCGCGTAGTGTTTCGTCGTGCTATAAGCGCCGAGAATAATGAACTGAAGGCTGGTTGTTGTCAGCGGTAATTGGCATTTTCACAGATCTAAATTTCAAAGTATGGCTGTGATGTTCTACGGAACGGTTCTGGTGGAACCGATGGCATTGCATTGCTGTGGAAACACCGTGCGTCTCGACGGCGACCAACTGCGCGGTATAAACGCCACGGGGCAACGACACACTCTGATTGCTGTGACTGTTCAGTCCATATGCTGAACCAGTGCAGTCGGCATGTATTGGAAGTGAGACCTCGGAGTCCGACACGATTTCGACCAGCGTACATACCAGCGTGCTGCCACACATAGCCTGTGCTAGTTCACCCTCACAGGAAAAAAACGAAAGGTTAATCTGTTTGGCTTTGCAATCAGCGAGTTCCTACTGCCAGAGACGTCAACAGAATCTAGAACCTCAGGTGCGTTTCACTGCCAATGACAAATCCGTTCGTGACCGGTCGCAATCTCCTCCGTTGCCTAGCTCGACGATGGCATTCACCGTTTCGACGTTGAGTCGTCTAATCAGACGCAAGCAGACCACCTTAGTAATGGAAATTCTGACGGAATCAAGGCAAGGCTTCTTGCGTGGGCCAATTATGTCTGGACCGCGGTACCGATAGTCTCTACCAGCAATAAAAGTTGCAAGAACACCCAACTTGAACTGAGTCGAACTTGCAAGATTCCGCATCCTGTTCCGCCATCGGAACGTAGGGAGCGTCGGGGGAAAACCGCAAGGGAACCTGCTCGAATTTCATTTGCAATCTCATCAGCCATCAGTTTGAACAGCATGCCAATGCGCATTAATTGTAGTACTCCAAGCTCGACCCCACTATCCTCGAAAATCCGGGTCTGGAGTTAAGCGCACGCAAGTTTTCGAAATTTGAATCTTTCAATCGGCAGGCTTAAGTGCCCGCTTTGTACAGTTTTCTCCAGGTATACCGTTTCTCCAGCACTGGGTGGGTGGACTTGTGTGTTGGACACAGCATGTACCGCCTATCCTATCCCAAAGCAGTGGATTTACTACCGTATCCAATTCCGGATCGGGAGCTAGGAAGGTACGAGAGTCTGATGTGCCGGTTTTCCCCTGACTGGACACTGCCCATGTCATTTTGAAAATCATAGGAGTCGCTCGTATCGAGGGCTCGTACTGCACCTGTGCGCCTACCGACACTTGGAATGTGACCGAGATGTTGCCAACTTCCTGCAACCGCGGAACACTTGTTCCCGCGGAAGGGATACCTCAGTTGGGAGCGTCGAAGCTTAGAGAAAGCATAAAAGACTGCCCACCGTAGCCAAAGAGTTCCCCAACTCACACCCCGAGCACAACAATCTCACCTCAGCAGTCTCCCAGCTCTTAAATAATCATGTTCTCTAAAGCATTCTTCTCGACCGTCGCCGCAACAGCACTCTTCGCGGGTTCTGCTTCTGCCATTTGTCCCGGGTACAACTTCGGTATCACCCAGACTGGAAGCAACACGAACCCCGACTACGGCATTTGTAAGTATTAGGCGTCAGTACGCATGTGTGCTCACCGGCAGACCGTGATTGCAAGGCAGGTGTTCGATGACTCTTGCAACGTTGTTGACCAGGTGATTGCGACGAACCCATGCACAGTTGGCATGTTCGACTGCAGTCCTGCGCCGATCACCTTCACTGGCCTGCACCTTGATGGCCTGAAGTAAGTATCGACTTTTCCGAAGCGACTGAATGCGGCATGTTAATAATGCACTTGACAGCTAGGCTTGCCGGTCCGACGTTGACTCCGGTTCTTGCAACGGCCACGCTATCCAAGCCTGTGTAAGTTGTGTTTTGCTTCTGTTCCCTACCACAAGTTATAATAAACCCTTTGTAGTGCCGCAATGATAGCGATTGACTATGGGAAGATCTTCAGATTACGGACACCGCAAGACTGGAATGATTGAGTAGCCTTCAGCCGCACGATCTAGACAGCCTTCTCTGTAGCGTATCAAGGAAGCGAAAAGCAATGGTTAATATTAATACTGGTGCACTCCCTTCTACACCATGCACAAATGTGCTGTGTGTGACTGATATGCGTTTCTTGAGGGTGAATATGAGTGTCAGCCCGTTTGAGTGATCATCCCATATCCCGTCGGTGCGTACGCAAAGGCACCCTTCCGGTGAAGCAGGGATTCTTCCTTCCACAAAAGTGGTAACAAGCAGGTCGCTGATTTCACGACAATGATGAACGTACGTAAGTTGCTCACCGACAACCAGCATCGTCAGACACACAAGCACACGTACTATATTTCTATGTGGAGCCCGCATTTCAGCCTTCAGCTCCATGTTATGAGACTATTAGTCATCAGCACGGTGGATGTCCTTTATAGCCTCTGCGGTTGTCTGCCATGCGATGGTGCCCTCCCGTTTGGCTTGTGTTGGCGAGTGTCCTCTGCAAAATTACGCGATTGCCTCCTGTTGCCTCCCGTCTTCAGTCGCACTTTCGGGGAAAAATGCAGTTCAATCAGGGTTCGCTTCCAGGCTTGGTGGTAAATTCCAGGTCCCCGGCGGCAGGGTGGCTGGTCCTAGTCCATTTATGGCTTAGGAGGATTTTTGTGACACATTAAATCGCGCATGGCATCGCTTTTTCTCATGTGTAATCCCGTTCTAATCAAGAGAGGAGATAATAAAGACTGATAGCTGCTGAACGGTTTACCCAGAGTTCGGCTACTCCACGCAAGTTGAAAGCTGCTTTTAGGATGTCGCGTGGACTCAAACACCATCGTCTCGTCACTGACGACGTTGTCGGCTGAACATGTCCTGGACGCTCCTTGACTCACTTGGGACACTGTTGACCGACGTTCTTAGTGTCCCACCCACGTCGGGGACCCTCCCACTCAATATATACACGCTCGTTGCGTACGTCTTACCAGCGTGTCTGTCTTACTATGTCGTCGCTGTCCTTGTCATTCTCCCCGGCACGCGCATGCTGCGTGTCGCCCTATGGCCGATTATCGTCTTCCTGGCATTTCGTGTTGTGATGTTCATCGACTTTTCATGCGGAAATCCTCAAAGGTCATATTTAAATTTTGGTTTTACGGTATGTATGTCCCATTCTTCGCCCCCTTCACTCTCATCGCCGATTCGCTGCTCGTACTCGGACCGGATATTCTGACTGTGTCTCTTGCGGACCTATAGATAGCGATGTTTTGCATTGTCTTCCGTACGCTTGAATGGGCATTTTTAAGGGACCCACTCCGGCGGCCTGCCAGACATTCGCCCTCAGTCCTCACTGATGCACTCGATCTCGCGACCAACGTTCGCGGCGTTGGGTGGAACTGGTCTAAGGGCCTTCGCTTTTCCCACGACACGCGTCCCACGTCTCGCTCGCGCTTCGCAATATACGTCTTTCTCTCCGCCCTCTTCCATGGTTTCATATGCGGCCTACTCCACACTGCTATACAAGCATTTGCGCTGGAAGCAATCACTAACTTACGTTGGGACACGATCTTTGACGACACACTTCCCCCCCTGATCCGATACACCCGATCCAGTATCATATCCATTCTCACTGCATTCGTTCTCTTTGCGAACTTGCAAATGAACTATGACATCGCTACGTTCATTGGTGTCACAGTGATCCAACAAAATCCTGCACAATGGCCCCCCATGTTCGATGAGCCGTGGAAAGCGACCTCGCTGCACGATTTTTGGAGCCACAGATGGCATCAGCTCGCAAGACGGTCATTTATCGTGCTTGGGGGGTGGCCTTTAGGGTTCCGGTTCGGACGTGTGGGATACGTGGTGGGTTCGTTCCTCGCGTCAGGGATACTCCACGGTGTTGTGGCGGCGATGCTCAAGCAGAGTGTTGAATGGTGGACTATGCTCTTTTCGTTTGGGATGATGGCTGTCGGCGTTGTCGTTGAGCATGTATTCACACAGACGACGGGCAGGAGAGTGGGTGGGTGGATCGGAAGAGTTTGGACGATGGCCTGGTTGTTGGTGTGGGGGAATTTGATAGTGGACGGGTTTGCGAGAGCGGGGTTGTTTGTGTCATCGAGCATATTTGGTACCGCAGCCCCGGCAGAGAGAATCGTGGAGCACTATGTTACAGGGTTGGATAGGTGGTTGAGGGCGCGTGCATCGTAGCGCCTCCTTTGCCGGACACGGTACGACATCTGCTTTCGGAGGGTGCAATGGACACGAAAGGATATCCATTCCATTCCCAATGTCCCCCACGATCAATATCAGAACTTGGCACAACGCAGAACGAATTATTCAGATGGGCAGTTGTTGTGCAATGTTCTCCTGCGTTGGATCATCTTCTCTTTGCATCATGTATGTATGACGTTTTGTGCAAACGAAGGGGCTCCTCACACGTAGCTTGCATTAGTTGATGGTTCGCCGCGTTCATCCCTCACTGAAAAGAAACTAATTTTTATTTGACTTCATTTTACAGATGCTCGTAAAGTCGGTTCTCGACCAGTAGCAGTCCGATACGTTGCTCAGCGCGCAGCGCTCAACGGTGGCATTCATTGTTAGATGTTGAGCCCTAGCAATATGGAAGCAAACCACCCTGGTAACAGAGATTCTAACAGAACCACGACAACCTCTAATGAGGCTTCCTGTGTCGGACAACCATGTCCAGATCACAGAACTGACATCTCCACCAGCAATAAAGGTGCAAGAAAGAACACCCGACTCGAATTGAGTTGAACTTGTCAGGGCATCCTGCGCAGTCGCGAGAGCGTAATATTGGTATCCGGAGACTTCTGCAGGTAATCGCCTTGAATTTTATCTCGTTGAGTCATCTGCAACAGCAATCAATTCGGACGTATGCCCGTGCGCATGACACGGTATTGGAAGCTCGACCAGGCTCCCCTTCCGGATCGTCGATGGCCAGTTCCATCCATGTATTCGCTAGTACGGTTTCCTGCAGACACATAGTTGAGCCCAAGTACGTTTTCCATATGTGAACATGTGCCGGGTGAGTCGGTTCGAACTCAGTACATAGAATTAAAGGCCTGCTTCGCACAGTTTTTCTCCAGCATATCGTTTCTCCTGCACCAGGGGAAATGACTGGTGTGTTGGCCGCAGCACATAGCACATGGGATATTCCTTGAGTAGTGGTCTGCTACTGCATCAACACCCGGCGCAGCCGGATCGTGAGCTCGAAAGGCAAGACGGGTAAAGGTCGCCTGATGCGCTGGTTTACCTTGGCCCTAGAGTCGGTCGTATCGAGGTCTGTACTGCACCCGTGCCCTTACCGACACCTGGAACGTGACCGAGATGTTGATGTTGCGAGCCTGCTGCAACCGCAGTACACTTGGTCCCGCAGAAGGGATACCTCGATTGGGAGGGTCGAGGCTCAGAGAATGCATAAAATGTTGCCCCTCGTAGCCAAAGAGTCCCCCAGCCCATATCTCCAATACATCAGTCTCACCTCTATCGTTAAAAGCGGTCTCCAAGCTCCTACACGATCATGTTCACCAAAATATTCTTCTCGACAGTCGCCGCTACGGCACTCTTCGTGGTTTCTGCGTCTGCCATTTGACAGTATCAAGCTGCACGCGTGCTCACTGACAGACCATGATTCCAGGGCAAGTATACGACAGCTCCTGCAATGTCATTCACCAGGTGACTGGGCAGAACCCGTGCAAAGGGGGCGTGTTGGACTGCAATTCTGCCCAGGCCACCTTCACTGGCTTACACCTTAATAGCGTCAAGTAAGCATTGGCCTTTCTCAATTAAATGGATTTGAAATGTCAATGCACTTGACAGCTATGCTTGCAGCCCCAACACTGACGCTGATTCTTGCAATGGTCAAGCTATTCAAGTTTGTGCAATGGACAATATTAGTATTGGTGTGTGCGATCACTGTGACTCGCTTGAGGGCGAAGATCCCGTTTGGGTGATCATTAATATCTCCATCATCTTCTTGATTTGTGTACAACGGTGCAGGGGTGCCCCATATCGATAACCCATATGACAATAGGGGGCTCCCGCAGAGAAACAGAGTTCGCCCTTCCACAATACGGTAAGTTATCAGCGGGTCGTTGATTTTGCGACGATGATAAACGTGAGTTGCCCAATAACCTTCAATGACGAGCACGGAGGTCATTTCGTACCATCAGTCACGGGCACACATTTTATACTTCGCGATGGAGCCCACCGCCAGCAGCATTCGGCCCTACGACATGGGACTATTCACCCGTCGATGCCCTCGACGGGGTCAGCTCAAGTTCTTGCCTGGTGATTGGAGCTGTCTTGCTTTTTGGCTTGTGCTGCTCTGAGCTGCCGGAAACTACAGTCGCCTTCAAGGAAAACGCCAATATGTACAGTCCACGCTCACTTACATTTACGAGGATATGTTGAATCTGTCACACACACCTATCTTGTGTCCTGTACTATGACGGATTCTTTGCCGTATTCCAGCGCATGGATGCGCCCTCGCCTACCGGACAGTTTGTACGGCAGTGACAATGGATCCTGAGCGCTTTATTGATAGTAAACTTGGGAGTTCGGATACTCCGCAACAGTTGACAGCTGCTTTTAGGTGTGGTGACGGCAGAGACCCGAATTATCATCTTCGTCATCATCGGCGACCTGGACAACCGAACGATGGCTTCGGCCGTGCCCTCGACACTCCTCGAGGCGCTTTATACCGACATTCTACGTGTCCCGCCCACACCAGCGAGAGTGCCATTCGACATATACGCGTTCTTCGCGTACGTGTTACCACCATGTCTTTTTTACCAAGTCGTCGCTGTCCTAGTCATTCTCCCTGGCACCCGTATGCTGCGTATCGCCCTGTGGCCGCTCATCGTCTTCCTGGCAGTTCGTGTTGAGATGTTCGTCGACTTTTCCTGTGGAAATCCTCAATGGTCGTTTTTGAATGTCGGCTGTGTGGTATTTGTGTCCCATTCTCCGACCATTCAAGTACTCTGATCACCGGTTTTCTATTCGCCTTTGAAATTGATGTTCTACCCTAAGTAGTTGATCATGTTTTGCATTGTCATCCGCACACTCGATTGGGCGCTCGTGAATGGCCCACTCAAGCGACCCGTCAGACCTGCCCCCTCCTTCCTCGTCGATGCGATCGACCTCACGGTCAATTTTCGCGGCGTTGGCTGGAACTGGTCCAAGGGCATCCGCTTTCCCCCTGACACGCGCCCTACCTCTCGCCTACACTTCGCAATATACGTCTTTCTCTCCGCCCTCTTCCATAGTTTCACATGCGGCGTATTCCACATCGCCATACATGCATTTTCCCCGGAAACACTCACCGTCTTGAGCGAGGCACAATCTTTGACGACACACTTCCCCCCCTGATCCGATACACCCGATCCAGTATCATATCCATCGTCGCTGCTTCCGTTGTCTGTGCGGGCATGCAAACGCGCTACGACATCGGTACATTCATTGGTGTCGCTGTATTCCAACAAGACCCCGCACAATGGCCCCCCCTATTCGACGCACCGTGGAAAGCGACCTCGCTGCATGATTTTTGGGGTTACAGATGGCATCAGCTTGTGAGACGAACACTCATCGTGCTCGGAGGGTGGCCATTAGGGTTCGCATTCGGACGGGTCGGATACGTGGTGGGTTCGTTCCTAGCGTCGGGGGTACTTCACAACGTTGTACTAGCCACGCTCAATCGTGGCGTTGAATGGTGGACCATGCTCCTCTCGTTCGGAATGATGGCTCTTGGTATCATCATCGAGCATACATTCACGCAGATGACAGGTAGGAAGGTGGGTGGGTGGATTGGGAAAGCGTGGACGATGGCTTGGTTGTTGGTATGGGGGAGCATGATAATGGACGGGTTTGCAAGAGCAGGTCTGTTTGCCTGTTGGCGCCCATTTATTACTGCAGCCCCGGCAAGATGGATCGTGGAGCACTATGTTACAACGTTGGATAGGTGGCTGAGGGCGTGTGCATCGTAGTGCGGTCTTTGTCGAACATGGTAAGACATTCACTTGGTTTCGAAACAGGCACCGGCGCCCGGACCTGAGCCTTTGGCGACGCTATTAAACACGAAAGGATGAAAGTTCCCGATATTCCTCACCGTCAATCGTTATGTCTCTCGTTCGGTATGAGAACTTGAGCACAGTGCAGAGCGAATTGCTCAGATGGATGGGTCGTAAAGCAATGTTCTCTTATGCAAGATCATGCTCTACTATTTTGTGCAAACTATCGAGTGAGTGAGTTTGCCCCGCTTTTCCATTATACCGGGGCTCATTTCCACGACGCCACGTCCCGAATTTGTAAATCTCCTGATTGGAACGAATAGGGGTCAAGTCTCTCTTTAACCTCTCGCCCACACTACTACAGCGGCCCGACAGCTGTTCTTCCAGAATAACTGAAGCTTCTTTATGATATTGATAGAAGTACCGCCAGGGTATATTCTCCGCAGTCGCGCGTGTAACTTACCGGGCAAGCACCGAGACAGGCCTATCCAACAGCACGCCGCGAGAGTGATTTCTTTCATCGTGTCCATTGCTTGAGCTCAGTGCAAATACGTCAGGGTATGATTGGTACAAATACTTACCTTCTTCACGGGTTCCGCAAGGTACCTTGTTCTCTACATCCATTATGACGTATTGACTGAAACGTTGTAACCCAGATGACGGCAGCCCAGTTCACCTCATCACATGGTTATCAAGCCGGTGCGTATTGTGTGCGTGGCTGCCATCTGCAATATGCGCATGGTGAAAACACAACACACTAACTACATATTAGCACGTAGACTACTCACTCTTGCCTTGCCAGAACAGTATAAGCGCTGCGGGCCAACGACGTGCCTTGACTGCGGTAACTGCTCGGCCCAAATATGTTGCATCAGTATAATCGGCATATACCTGAAGTGGGGCCTCGAAGTCCGACTTGATTTGAACGAAATCCTCGAGACACTAGTGCTGGGCGGCGAGCCGGCCTGTGGTTAGTAGTGTGTACCCGTCCATCCTCATCGAACGGGTTCGAATTGAACCTACGCAGGGATGCCTACAGAGTCCAAATTTGTGCGTTCCACTGCCGGATCGGTTCTTCAGAAGTAGCGATCTCACGCCTGTCTCAGCGTCGATACTCAATATTCAATGGTGGCATTCAACGTTTGTCACAATATCCGAGTAGACCGCCAGATTCCGACAGAATCAAGGCAACCTCCTGCGTCGGCCAACCATGCCCGGATACTTTACCAGCAATATATATGTAAGAAAAAACGCCCAGCTCAAGCTGAGTTGAACTTCTCAGGGTATCCTGCGCAGTCGCCGAAGCATATTGGTATCCGGAGACTTCTGCAGGGAACCGCCTTAAATTTTATCACGTCGAGTCATTTTGCAATAGTAATCAATTCGGACGGCACACCCGTGCGTATGAAACAGTATTCCATGCTCGACCAGGTTGTTCTTGAAAATCTGGGCCTGGATTGAGTGGGTCCCCTTTTTGGTCCTTGTTGGCGGCTTCCATCCGGGTACACAGTAATGAAGTAGGTTTTGTATATTTGGACTTTTCGATGCGCAGACTCAAGTGCCTGCTCCGTACAGTTTTTCCTCGGCAGATCGTTTCTCCTGCAATAGATGTTGTGTCCCTTGTGTTTGCCGCAGCACATATCACCTGTCATATCCTCACTCGGTGGTTGACTACCGTATCAATCTCTGGATCGTGGGCTGTGAAGGTAAGAACGTCTGATGGAATGATTTGCATACCCCAGTGCGGATACCATAGGGCCTGTATCGCACCCGTCCCCGAGATGTTACATCGCAACTTGTCTGCGCGGAAGAGATACCTCGATCGGAAGGACCGAGACTCAGAAAATGTATAAAAGGCTGCTCCCCGTAGCCAAAGAGATCCCAATCCACATCTCCAGCCCAACAATCTCACCTCTGTCCTTAAAGCCTTCTCTCAGTTCTTACACAACCATGTTCTCCAGAACATTCCTCTCGGCCGTCGCTGCATCAGTCCTCTTTGTGGCTTCTGCGTCTGCCATCTGTCCCGGGTACAACTTCGGTATCGCTCAGGCTGGCGGCCAAATGAACGGCAACAACGGCGTTTGTAAGTGTTAACAGCATCAAGCTGCACGCGTGCTCACTGGCAGACCATGATTCCAGGGCAGGTGTACGATAACTCTTGCAACGTCGTTCACCAGGCGACTGGACAGATGCCGTGCGGTGGTGGCGTGTTCGACTGCAACTCTGCCCAGACCACCTTCACCGGCTTACATCCTCGATGGTGCCAAGTAAGCGTTGGCCTTTTTCAATTGAATGTATTTGAAATGTTAATGCACTTGACAGCTATGCTTGCAGCCCCGACACTAACGCTGATTCTTGCAATGGCCAAGCTATTCAAGTCTGTGTAAGTTTGGAACTATTTTTTCTGCCTCACCACAAGTTAAAACAAATGCTTTGTAGTGCCACTGAACGGCAATCAACGGTGCAATGGCCTTCGAATCTGACACTAGTTTTCTATGTAAGCGGAGTTTACGGAGCATTGCATAGAATTTAGTCCGTGTGTGAGTAAGCAAAGTGTGATGCATCTCTTGTCTTCTGCACACTTCGTGAATTGCAGATTCTGTGCCTCCAGCCGTCGTGCAGATCTCCTCTCGTTTTTTGCAAAGCAATGCCCCAACCCTCAGCTAATGGAAAACCCCAACATGGCTATACAGCCTGACTTTACCACAGAGGAGTATCAGGAAGCCCATTTGCAACTCATTAATGATGCAGTAGACAACCAACAAGCCACAAATATTCTAGCTACCCTATGGGTTCTAAACAACAACAGGGAAAAACTTAAATGGCAAACATGCAAGGAACTATGATGCTGCATCTGTAACATTAAACAAACAAAAATAAAACAGCTGAATGCATGACTTTTGCAGCACTGCTCCTGTGTGACTTTTTATACTACCCCTGCATAATTTTTAACACAGCCACCTTGTACCACTTTGCACTAGCTAGGAGGGCAGATAAAATAGATAAATGTAGGCAGGATGTGAACACAGTTTGTTGGCACCCTCCCCAGTCATCCCACCCAATCCACAAGGCTGTGATGCCCCACAGGGCCCACTTGAACACTTGACCCCCTCCCCCGCCCCTCCCACCTGGTGGCAGGATTGCTCCTTCAGGAAATTCCCATGGCATTGCCACCTGGAAATTCATGTGACTGCACTCTGCGCCACAAGTCATCACTGGCCTAGCAAATTTGGGCCCATTTCTTGGCAAAATACCCATTATTACATGGGTTATGTACAGTAGCATTGAAACGAGACCCTGACTCACTTGCAAGAAATGGGCCCAAATTTGCTAGGCCAGTGATGACTTGTGGTGCAGAGTGCAGTCACATGAATTTGCAGGTGGCAATGCTGTGGGAATTTCCCGAAGGAGCAATCCTGCCACCAGGTGGGAGGGGTGGGGGAGGGGGTCAAGCATTCGAGTGGGCCCTGTGGGGCATCACAGCCTCATGGATTGGGTGGGATGACTGGGGAGGGTGCTGATGAACTGTGTTCACATCCTGCCTACATTTATCTATTTTATCTGCCCTCCTAGCTAGTGCAAAGTGGTACAAGGTGGCTGTGTTAAAAATTATGCAGGGGTAGTATAAAAAGTTGTGCAGGAGCAGTGCTGCAAAAGTCATGCATTCAGCTGTTTTATTTTTGTTTGTTTAATGTTACAGATGCAGCATCATAAGGAACAAGAAGCTCAAAGAGCTCAAGATGAAGTGGAACAAGCTGAAGGAGAACTTGCCAAGCAACAATGCTGCAGACTTGAAGAAGTGGAGACAGCATGAGCAGAAGAATGGAAAAAGAATAAGACCAAGCATGCTCTGATATGCAAAGTAGGAGTCCCCTTGGGTTCTGTCAACATTCCCTCTCCATATGCAGCATGCAAACTCAAGAAGGGCAAATACTGCAAGCTTTACTTCTTCACCAATATTGGCCTAGCAGAAGCAGAAACTTTCAACCCCTCAATAGATGATGAAGCTTTGACCCTACTCAAAGTGGACAATGGCCAGCACATATGGGTGCCAGCATCAACCACCAGAGATAAGTTGTCTGTTATAAAGGATGAAGACCTAACTTGGGAGCAGTTTGGAGAAGCATCCATGTGCCTGATAAGCATGATGAAAGAACATGATTGGGAGGAAGAGAGAGTAGACATGCACATAGATTTTTGGATGGCCATCAAAGCTCATCTCTGGCAGTGTTCACTGCACATGCATCTGAAGAGAGTGCTACTCCTCTACCAGAGCCAGCAGAGACAGAGATGGCATCATGCCCTATTGACTCTTAATACCTGGTCACTATTGGAATTGAACCAAGACCTACTGAATGATGTGCATGAAGAAATATTGGACAGAGAACATTCCCAGGAGCTTGAGAATCTCAGGAAGGTGCAAAATACATGCTCACCCAATGACACTCTGACTAACCTCACCTTTCTGCTTTCCACTTTCTGCTCCCCCCCCTCCCCTTCTTTCTCTGGCTTCATGACCCATACACACTAACCCCCCAGCATAACATCCATTGATCAATCACTGGTTTCTACAACCCCCCTCTCATAACCAGCATCACATCTGCTGATCATAAAAACTCCTTCCCCAGCATCATGTCCACTGATCAAAAATTTTACCTACCACATTTCCATAAACTATATACTACTGGCTGGTGATTGTCAACCAAAACCTACCCCCCCTTCTCTTAATCATTGTCATCCACAGGTCAACAAGCACTACTTAGCCATGGTGGCACACCCTGTGCCATCTCATAATCACATGAGGACCCCAAGCAACCAAAAGTGCCCTACATCATTCAGAGAACACTCCCACTTGGACTATCTGGACCACAAGCACCAAAGGTCCTTTCACAACAACACATCCTCTGATTATCAACCCCACAATGGGCCACTTCCAGTGTGTGCCATCTGCCTCAGAAGGCAATGCCATCTCATCATTGAGTGCAGGACCACCTCCACCTGGGACAAAAAGCACCCCACCTTTGCAGAACAAATTCACAAGGCACTTTTCTCCAGGGACAAGGGAAGGCACATCTGCACCAAGTGGCAATGTGAAGAAGGTTGCACTGAGTGCCATGACACCAAGCATCTATGCTCTGGGTGTGGTGCAACAACACATGGTGCCCAGAGATGCCCTTGTGCACAAAAGGCTGCACCCAATGACACCTTATAATGTAGAGGCTTGGGAATGAGAGCTCAGCAAGTTTAGTTTAAACCATCACTTCAGTAAGATCCCAGAGGGCCTTCACCAGGGATTCTGTATAAACTTTCCATCAATTGCACATGTACAATCTCCCCCTAACAGAGATTCTGTTCTCACTTATGTCAAAGAACTCTGTAAGACAATAACTAAAGAAATTGAAAAAGGCTGCTACATTGGCCCCCTCACACTAGATGCCATCACTGAGCTAATAGGACCCTTTCAGTTGTCCCCACTATCAATTATACCCAAACCAGACCACCCTGGAAAATACTGCCTCATACAAAACTTCTCATTCCCCCATTCCCTGAACAAACAAACCCCCAATCCTTCAATCAACTCCTACACTGATGCACATGATTTCCCAACAACATGGGGAACATTCGCCATCATATACCTATTACTCACATGCCTACCACCAGGATCTGAATTAGTGACTGGAGACATTGCTGAAGCCTATTGCACAATCCCCTTGCACCCTTCGCAATGGCCAGTGAATGTAATAAGGATATCAGACACCCATGGATGCATGGACACCTGTCTAGCCTTCAGAGCATCACCATCATCAAGTATTTATGGTAACATGGCTGATGCTGGTACAGAAATCATGAGACATCACAGCATTGGACCCATGGACAAATGGGTGGATGATCATATCTTTGTGTGCATCAAGTGTGAATACCTCACAGCCTACAACAAGCTAAGGAAAGTATGGCAATCCAAAATCACCTCACCAGAACCCCAGCAGTTAGGGGCTAGGATTCTATTCTCGGGCAGAACCCAAGACAATGACATAACTGAAGAACTCAATGAAAACTGTTCACAGCCAATTCAAGATCTGTCAAGAGGATCACTGAGATCCACTCACAACATGTCCTTCTTGTACAGCTTCAAAGACATAGATGCACTATCAAAATACCTTGGGATCCCTTGGGAGAAATTGAAAGATCAACCCTTTAGCCACTCCACAACATACATAGGTTTTCTGTGGGATCTCAAAGACTACCATGTCTCACTAAGCCCAACAAAAACAACAAAGTACCTGAAGGTGATCCATGCATGGCACAAAAGGCCAACCCACATTCTACAGGATGTTAAAGAACTATATGACAAATTACTTCATGCCTGCACAGCCTTGCCACATGGCAGAGCATACCTAATGGGCCTCAAGGCCATGCTAAAAACAAGTGCTGCAAAGCCACTTATGCCCCATCAGGCAGACAAAAGAGTAGCCAACAACATCAATTGGTGGACAGACCAGCTACAATCTGGCAATGTCCAATGCTCCATCTCCCTGCCCAATAAGCTTGTCAACATACTAGCCTTCTCTCATGCTAGCTCTAAAATTGGCATTGGAATCAAGATTGGTGAACACTGGCATGCATGGAGACTCATCCCAGGCTGGGAAAGTAGTCAAGATGGCACCAGAGACATTGGATGGGCTGAAGCTGTCACCTTCAAATTTCTGGTCTATGAATTGATCATGTCATTGCAGACAACAGCTCAATCACCATGTTCAGAGATAACACTGGCAGTCATTGAAGGCTGGTGAAATGGTCACCATTGCAATACCCAAGTCAATGAAGTTTTCAAATGAGTTCACTCATTCATTGCTGGGTCCCCTCACATTAATCAAATACACACAAAATATGTCCCAAGTGGTGCCAACCCAGCAGACCCCTTATCAAGGGGAATCTATGGACATCCAAACCTTCTCCTCCCTCCAATCCCTATCCCCATACAAATCTGACCCTTCATCATCAATGCAGCTGCCCCCCCCCAACACTACTGAGCTACAGCTTAGGAGAGAAGGAGCATACCCTTCCCCAGCAGCCAAAATCATTGACCATGCTTGAATCACTCTCGAAATGAAGGAATGAAGGCAAGCTACAGCCACACACAAGTATAGTATCATCCAACAATCCCTCCTTGATAACTAAACCAGAAGTTCAGCAACATTTTGATGCTCCACTCAAGACACCTAACCACTATCTATCATCCACAGCCCCTCCCTGCCCTTACCACCCTGGCCTAACCCCATGCCCCTCACCCCTACACCCACACTGCCTAGCCAAAGAACATCTACAGCTATGGCAACCATCTCCCACTCAATCGAGAGTCACACACATCCCAGAGGAAGAAGGCACTCACACCATAACAGATCAACAAGTCAATCGCATCCTTGAAGTAATTGGAGCATCATGGGCAGAGAAAACCAAAGAAACTTACAGTGCAGGATTACTCACCTACCATGTATTTTGTGACACCCATGGAATATCAGAGGCCCAGAGGGCCCCCATCACAGCCAACACCCTGCTCACTTTCCTCTCCAGCTGTGCAGGATCCTATTCAGGTTCAGCACTGTCAAATTTCATGGTTGGCCTGTGAGCCTGGCACCTCCTGCACAGGCTACCCTGGAACATTAACCTGGACAAGCTCTGTGCTATACTAGAAGGAGCTTCACACTTAGCCCCCACCTTGTCCAGATGAGCCCTCCATGAACCTTTCCATGTGAACACTCTAGAGCTGTTCCACTCCTTAATGGATCCAGAAAGCCCAAAAGACACAGCAATATGTTATGCTTCCATCAGGGGTCTTTCCTTTTTCATCTCCTTGTGGTCACATGCATCACGTGCCTTGTTGCATTGCTTGTAGTTGTTGCCATCCTAGGGGCTTGCATGATAGAAGGACCCATTGGGTCTCTCACTGTCATGGTATTTCCAATACCAATTGAGACCATGCTTCCCTTTTGATCTGGTATTCCACCACCCTCTCTGATGGATGACATGTTCCTTTCTTGCCCAGTGACTCATTTCTGACTCCTTTATGTTGCTTATATGTTGTACTGTAGCTCCAGTGTCTGGCTCCTCACTGTGCATTGATTGCGCAGCTGGTATAGCCTTCATTCCCCCTTGATTCCTTTGCCACTTGACACCATATGACTCCTCTTCATTTATTTATTTGACTGATTGTTCTGTTGAGTACTGCAGGTACACGTCATGACTGGTATAGTACTTGTACTTAGGGGTATATAGTCCTGTGTATTGTACCTTGTATCCTCAGTTTTTTGATAGCTTGCAACTCAGCTAACTTCCTTCTCTTTTGTCCTTGTTCCCTCCTCCATGTGACCACCTTAACGGATCACCAGAAGGACAGAACCTTTGATGGACCTCAGAGATAACTGAGCCATAGGGGTTACAACATGTTTGGCCTGTAGATTCCCCCTCATGTGCTTTGTGCCTATTCCATTTGAAGAAGTCACTGTGCTCAGGCATAACAAAATCGAAAAACTCCATGCAGCTTTCAGGACTCATTGACCTCTTTGCAAAAAGTCCACTTGTCCCTGGTTACTGAACTTCAACAAACCAATTTTCCTCAAATACTAGGCTTGTTGCTCTCCCTACATGTAAAGACTGACTTGCCTTTGTCCCACTTTTTGAATAAATCGAGGAGCATCCCTCTATCCTCAACTCGAGTCCACTGCTCTATGGGCAGCCATTAGGCTTTAATAGATTGCCTCCCTAGAGCCAACACTCATGTTCCCCTATGCTGACAGGTTTCTCTCAAGAAATAACTCCTCCCTCAGCCTTTGTTGTCACTATCCATAAAAGTGTCTAACCCACAGAAGTTGAGACCTCCAGTCCCTCCTTGAACTAATCCCCTTGGACTTGGAAGGAATCCCCCCTTACTGCCAATACCTCTTGGATGACTCGGTCCTTTGGCTACTGCCACCAACCCACGGTTATCTTATCCATCCCAGTTTAGGGATTTGGAAGTCGTGCTTAGTTCAGAAGAAGAAGATGGTCAGCAATCTGAGACTTCCTTCAGATCAGTCCTCAAAGAAGAACAAGAAGCATGCAAATCACCAGAGATGTCCATGACAATCAGACATGGAGATTCGGTTCCTGAAATGCCTCTGAGGACTTTCTTGGAAGAGGAACTAAGACAGAAGCTGGAAGAACAAAGAATCACTATGGTGGAGGAGCTCTGCCAGGCTATGCACGCAACTACAAGTGACCCATTCCCAGCTGGTATGCCTATGGATTCAGCCCTACATGATTGGTATTGTTGAAGTTTT